TGACGCTGAAGGAACCCCACTTTACTAGTTTGCTCATAAAAAATTTTCCAAACCTGATGATCAACAGCTCCAACATCATTTGAAGAGACGACAATTATGTTTTGTGGGTTCAGGCTGTGTCCTTGCGTTGTTCCTCGTTAAATTTGAAGTTGGAGGATGGGAGCTTGATTTGTAGTTTTGAATTACCTTAAAAAATTGGTAAAAATCGAAGCATTTCACAAAAATCCAAACCTTATCGAATGTGCTGGTTGAAAATTGTAGAGTTGTTTAGAAGAAATGGAATAATGTTGAGGCGATTGAAGTCAGTGCCTTGAATGTTGAGCATGGACAATTAAATTTAGTCCTTCAAAAAAACATTTTTTGTCTAAAAATAAAAAAAATATTGTTTACCCTTTTTATGGAATAAAAAAGAAAAGTGTGAAAGAAAATCGAGGAAAACAATGAATGCTCAAAAAAAGTTTCACTCTTCAATTATTGATCTTTGTTGTTGAACTTTGCTCAGACAAACAAAAACATGTACTGGTTAGAGAAAAAGAATCGATATTTTTCCTCACTCTCGCGTGGGAAAACAAAATTTGGCTTCTCTAACCAACACATGTTTTGCGTGTCTAAGAAAATATCGACAACAAAAATCGATAAACGAAGAAAATGCGATAACAAAAGAAGTCAGACACTCTCTTCTCTAAAAGAAAAGAACAGCCGGCACCGGTCAAGTAAGCGGATTCCGGACAAATTCAGCAGGAATCCGGAAATTATTTTTACCGGATTAAAACCGGATCAGATTAATCCTGAAACATCAGCAGCATCCGGTCGAACTTGAAAATATCCGGAAACCAATCCGGAAAGATTTGGCCGTGCACTAGTGGGGTTCAATAAAAAGTTTTACCCCCACTTGTCCTTAAAACAGACGAAACAGTAAAATTTTGGGCAAAATGCCCATGTAAATATGAAAACAAAAAAAAATAAAAATAAAAAAATAATCTGTCAAAAAACAGTTGTAAAAAAAGCAAAAAAAATTTTGGGGAAATAAAAATTGTGTATATATGTGTTAATTTGAAGATGTATGAATTTATTTAAAAATATTTTTTTTTTCGGTAAAGTGATCAAATTAATAAAAAAATAATTTTTTAAATAATAAAAATTTATTAAAACTATTTTTATATACATATTTGACTAAAAATCCAAAATAAATTTTCAAAAATTAGTTAAAAAATTTTAGTTAGAATTAAAAATTTATATAGAAGTTTGAAAAAAGCTGCCCCGTTTCATTTTCCAAGGAATGAAAAAAATCCGCCTCCTCCATTTGATGTTGCTACTTCAACATTCACTGGACGATAGGCTAACATACAAGCATCGAATAATCTTTAAAAAAAGAGAAATTAAAAATTTTTCTCAAAAGGACACAGGAGCGGGCCATAACTAAACATAAAGGAATGCCCCAGGATGTCGATTTTGGAATTTGGAGGAGTGGGCCAATTTACCTCAAATCGTCCCCTTTACATAAAAAGTTACGCCGAGACAAGCCAAAAACTGATTTGATCCGAATTTCATAAGCCTAACTAAGGAAGGCTGCGAGGTGTCCGAGCTAAAAACGGCCGGGTTCTCTATCGAATGAACTCGGTCTTGACCGTTTTTAGCTCAGACACCTCGCAACCTTCCCTAGTAAGTTACAAGCCCCATGGTTCTGGTAGATCGAGGTGAGTCCAGGGCTATGTTTTTCTAGTATCAAATCATGTCCCCATTTTTGTAGAAAAATTTCTAACTCCCAAAGTTCTTGGGGCAGACAGATTCCAAATTTTTATTTCAACCCCATTCCTATTTTTCTAGAGAAGTACACTTTAAAAAACCCCAACAAAGAAAACAAACCTATCATAGCCTTCTTCCCTTGCTTTAAGTAAATTTGTGATATCTTCATCTTCCTTTTTGAGCTTTGCTTTTGCTGCTTCCCATCTAAAATTGGGACGAATTACCAAAAATTGTTTTTCTTAAAAAACCTAGTTTTAAGGTCCATATATTCTTTTTGGAATTGTTTCATTTCTTGTTTTTTATTTTGCAAAACAGGCTCAATTTGTCTAATTGTTTCAATTGCCAAATTAGCATGTTCATTTGTTGGTAAAGGTAAAAATGTGATTTTGTATTTGACCTGAAAAATAAAAAAATTTTTTTGAGCCAAAAAATTTTTCTAAAAAATTGGAAAAACTTTCCAGAAATTTTTAAGAAATTTCCAAAAAAAACCTGTGAAAGAAAATTATCCCCATAAACACAAAGAATATAACTTGGTTGAATCAACTCGGACAAATTAGCTCCTAGAAATTTAAAAAAATTTCAATTTTTTTTTTGAAATTTTAACCTTGAGTTTCCAATGCATCCAAATAGTGAAAAGGTAAAGGCGTTTCTTTATCTTCCATTAAATGACTGAATAAAAAATTTAAAAATAATTTTTTCTAAAAATTTACTGCATTGGAGAAAATTCGGGAATTTCAATTCTTTGGAAAGGTAAAAAGAACAATTCTGCAGAAGTGCAATGTTTTCGTTTTTGACTTTCTTTGATGTCACGAACACTTCCATCTTTATCAAATAGCACCAATTTAAATTTACTTTTGGAATGGGATTTGCAGCGAATGATTACTAGAAAATGAAGGGGTTATTTAAAGAGAAAAGAAGGGGAAGAGGACGGATTAATCATTCTAGAACAAATTTGAAGTCCTATAACTATCCGAAAATGGCTCCGATCCCCCAAACAAATTCTCTCTCTCTCCGGCCCCAAAACAAATCTGTGAATGTTTTCATCAAATACCAAAAAGAGGACATAAAATCGCAGTTCGGGAAGTCCAACAAATTTCCAAAAGTTCCATTGATTTTCCCTCTTCAATTATTCTTTAAAAAAGGAATATGGAGAGGGGAACAGTTTAATCAAAAATAATATTCTCTAAAAAAATTAACAAAAACCTCCATGTCTAGAATCATTTGAAACATCAAATCTATAAAAATGGGCTTCTTGGTTGCTCATAGAGTTGTCGATTGGAACTCCTGGTATGAGCCTTTTGACACTAAAAAATGTGTAGACACTTAAGCTTTTATAGAAATTTAATTGAGAACCTTGTATCCGATTCTTTCCCTTTACAAATATCAATGGCTTGGGCCAACACTTTGGGTCGAATTTGTGTTGGGATTTTAAAGCCAAATGAAGATACCTGAAAAAGAAATTTTTGGAAAATATTAAAAAAATTTTCGTGCAAAAATTTTAAAAGGAGGGAGGTTTAATATTTATAGTTAGATTAGTAAGAAGTCAAAAATAAACCAAAAAACATCAAGCGGGATAGAACCCAGTAACTCTTAAAATCACAGGCTAACACACAACCACTAAACCACAAAGTTGTTATTCAAAAACTTTTTATAATTAAACTTAACGACAACTAATTTTTATAAAAAAATCTAAAAGCTCACCATAGCTCCAAAGAATCGACCTTAAAAGTGTTTTTAGATTAAAAAATAATTTCTCAATAATTTACCGAATCCACCAAGTTCAGAAATGTCAATACCCTCAAAATTAGCCATTGCTGTAGACGGACCAGAAACGTTGTATTGTCTTCGTTTGTTTGGGTCAGAAAGTACAGAATAAGCAATGCTTATCATTTTGAAGTGTTCTTGGGCTGGAAAATTTTTTTTGGAAAAATTCAGTAAAAAGTCGCAAACCTTTTTCATCTCGATTCTTGTCTAAAATATAAAAAAAAATTAAAAATAGGGAAGTTGACTAATTTTAGGATGTAAAAATTTAGGCAATCCAGGAGAATTGTGGTCCCTGCGGAAAAAAATCTTAAAAATAAGAAAGAGGATTTTTCTAGGGTAAAAAAATACGCTGATTACGAATCTGAACTCAGATTTTGAAAAAGTCGAATCCCGAACCCGAGATTCGCATATTTGACATTTTGGGGAAAATTTTGAAAAATAAACAGAGCGCAAATTGGTCAATTAATATCTCATTCAAAAGAGCTCAGCGAGCTGAGTCGAATGACATCAAAATCATCGTGATTGATCAAAATCGGACGAAGTTATAACACAAAAGACATAGGTTTACGTTGTTTGTTTATTGTGGTATAACTTCGTCCAATCTTGTTCAATAACGGTAATTTCGGTGTCATCGACTCAGCTTGAAGAGCTCTTTCGAATGAGGTATAATTTGCATATTCGAATTTTTCACCCCAAATCAGCTTGGTCCCCCCTATGGGTTTTCGACATTCGAGGACCTATATTCGGGTTCGGATTCGACTTTTTCAAAATCTGAGTTCAGATTCGTAATCAGCGTATTTTTTTACCCTAGAAAAATCCTCTTTCTTATTTTTAAGATTTTTTTCCGCAGGGACCACAATTCTCCTGGATTGCCAAAATTTACAAAAGGCATCGTGGATCTTATCGACGTTTCGACAAAGATAGGCCTCCTAAAGTCCCAAAATTCCCCGAAATAATTTTTTAAGAAACCTGGATGATACTTCAAAGCCAATTTTCTGTAGGCATCTTTAATTTCCTGTTCACTTGCATTTCTTGAAACGCCCAATAATTCGTAGAAATCTCCAATATCGCTATTTTTGTTTTTATTAGGGCTGTACATTTAATTCTATAAAATATACGTAAATAGTCAAAGGCTGAAATTTAAAAGCTATTAAATAAATTTACAAGACGATTTTGAAATTTCAAAGAAAAATGGGTGAGTAATACAAAAGACAAAACAAATTGTCTGCCTCTTTTGTTTACTATTTTTTATGTATGCATTTTGAAGTCCTTCGAGAAAGTTTACATTTTGAAATATACATGTAAGAAATAGCAGAGGAAAAGAAATAGAGAAAAAATGTAAACATTTTCGCGGTAAAGGTCGATTTTAAAGACGCCGATTTTGAAAAAAATCCTTTGATTTTTCCTTTGAAATCCTTTGACTGTACAATGCAAAAAATTTTTTATAAATTGGTTCAAGGATTTGTTTTTTTTTCATTTTTAGGCTACTTTTTTACTCGTCCCCATTAAATTCGTCCCACTGAACAAAACCCACAAGATGTCCCACTGGCCAGAAGCCACGATTCGTCACACCTCAAAATTCGTCCTACCTCAAAACGTCCATCAGACTAAAATACTCAATTCGTCGAACTATAAATTTAAAATGAGATAATCTTACTTGACCATATATTTCTAGGGCCGTTTAGGGACCTAAAGATACAAATATCTGTGACACCTTACAAATATCTGTTAACTGAATTTTTTTTAAATGAACAAATTTCTATTAAAATTTTATTCAAGAAAAAATTATACAATACACAAAACTTTAAAAAAATACAAAAATCAATCTCTTCATATCTACCGAAGAGTTGAACGTTGTGTTGTATGTACAAGTACCATATCATTATGTTCACAGGCTTCGCAGACCTCGTCGTCGTTGGCACCGCCACTTGGTGTCACCACAAATTTTGCGCCGAACTTAAAAAAAATTTTTTTGCGCCTCAAAAGCCCATAATACCCCCATTTTTTACCACAGGCAGTTAACCTTATAGGATACACTTAATATTAGGTACACCTCCATTTAAGATCGTTGACTAGGAGGGAGGGGTGTTAAGCTTATTCTAGTGTCTGAGCCATCAAGTCCACGCCTACCAAGAACCCCTCTATTTAATAGACACTTCATTATAAGGTACAATTTTCAAAGGGTATGAGCCCCAGTAGTACCTGTTTTGCCAGGTCAATGCATTCTCTACCAGGAAAATGACTCTCCGAGGCAATACAAACACCTTTAAATTGGTCCAACCATTCTTTCCTTTCCTTCTAAAAATTAGAAAAAATTTTCAAAATTTTCAAAAATTTTCAAAAAAAATTTTTTCCACTCGCCTGACTTAATGCCTTAACAGAAGTAGCAAAATAATTATTCCATTGGCGTTCAGTAGCCTCAGTTGCTGCATTTTTAGTAATACTATTGGGTTGTAAAAGAGACATTGAGGAAGTATCATCTACTCGAATTCCAGCAACTATAGCATCAATTATGTTTGCTTTTTCGGCTCGGCGGACATTTGCACGCCATGGGAGGGAGAGAATACGAGGGTGTTGGCGAAGCCACCTTTTAAGGAATTGAAATTTTTTTAATGAAATGTTAACTAAGGAGTAAGTCTTCTATTTTTCTTAATTGAAGCAAGAAGGGATAACTGAGAGTTTTTGGGATGGATAAGAGTGTGGGGGCAGTTTGGGTGGGGGGGGGGGGCTGTTGTTAAGTCCATCCCTTTATCGGAATTTTCAAAAATTAAAAGTTTGGTACAGCTTCCATTATACAGTTGACCCTCATTTTTATATACACCCAACACTAGACACAATCAGGTTTTTTCCTAAAAGCTGGTTGGACACTGGACGTGTGTGGGTGTAAATGCGCGTAGATGCTTACGATGCTTAGATGCTTACGTATTGCTTACGCAATATCCTCTAATTTAAAAGACCTCAATTTAAGTTTAAAATTTTTTCATCCCATGGGTGTATCTAAAAATGAGGTGTTCAAAAAATGAGGCTAACACACCTCTAAAAATGAGGTGTGTTAGCTTTATCCAAGCTTATGTTAGCCGGATAAAGAATTATTTCCCTCTCTAATTTCCATAATTTATTCCACCTATCATATTAAAATGACGTTTCTTCAATTTTTCCATGTCCTCGTGGGGCCTTTTAAATTTTAAAAGGAAACACAGGGCCATGTGACTAGCTTATCTTCAATAAATATTTTTTTGTTGACCTAGTACTTTTAAATATTTTTATTTTTTTGTTATTTCCTCCCTGCGTCATTTCCTCCCCCAAAAAACTTTTCTTCCCTTCCCTCCCCCAAAAATCCCTTCAACATTTCCACCAAAAATGTCATCTCTAAAACACTCATAATTTATGCCTAAAGCACTCCTTAATGCTTAAAGTGGTTGCTATATTTGCTAACATATTACAATGGGGAGATGAGGGGAGACTCGTGGTGATGACGATTATGGGAGGGAAAACAATGAAAATGACAGTCTTTGGACTATTTTCTGTTTTATATTTTTTTACGTAATTTATTTTTTAATTTATTCCAAAAAGCCTAATATAAACAATAAACCCAAAAAAGTCTCAAGAACTCCAAGATTATTTTCATGCCCTGAGGCGATAAGAGGCGGGAATCCTTAATATAAAATTCGGAATTTTCTTGAGGAATGGGTTATTATTTTATTAAAAATTCTCCACAGGAGATAACGTCCTTAGTAATTATTTTTCAACCAAGGAGGCAATTAATCGAAGTTTTTTTAAAAGAGCGGTAGGGAATCGCCAGGCATCCCTCGGGCCTTCCAACTCACCACTGATTTATAGAAGGATTCCATCGCTTTTTTCTAGACCCTACTAGTTCTTACAAAATTAAAGGAGATTGGAAATTTAAAAAACCTTGAATTTAACCTTAATTTTGGTTGAGGACCTTGAGGACATTGAGTCAAGGGAAAATCGAGGACCAATGAAAATGTCTTGATCTTGACTCTAGATTCAGGAAAGATCAAGGTCCTGATTAGGGTTGTCGGATAGTTGGAAATCTTCGGATATCCGATATCAAAAATTCTGGATATCCGGTCTTTATTCGAATCCGGATCCGACAACCTTAGTCTTGATCCAGATCCAATCTCTAAAAAATACTACATAATAGCTTGGTTTATATATTGACGTTTAAAAAAGCTCAATTTTTAATTTATCAATTAATGATAGAAGGGAGAGGGTCTTTCTATAATTAATTAAATAATAATTTAAATCACTACCCTCTCAATCAATTTTCGTACAAATTCCCGCGACAAAATTACCAACTAAAAAAATAAATTCTCTTATCTTCCCCCAATTTTTCTTGATATTTTTTTATCATTTTTTGTCCATTTCCGTACTTTTAAATAATAAAACGATTAAAATGGCTGTCATTTAAATACCCTAATAAAAAAAGAAAAGCCCTTAAAAACACCCAAAATTGTCCAAATAAAAAATAAAAAATAAAATTTGCCCCCTCGAATGTTTGTATTGAACCTAAATAAAATTTCTAGACCTATTAGTTCCTTAGAAAAATTCCAAAAAATTTTTTCAACAAAAAATATTAAGAGGAAAATAATTTTTTGTATGAACGACAAAATTTCTTCAAGTCAAGATTTGATTAATTGCTGTGTTCGTTTGGATCCGCAGCATTGCTGAAGAGAATTTTGAGGCTTTTAAGAAGTCTACCAACCCCAAAAACCTTCCAAAGACCTTCAAAAAACCTTCAGAAACCTTCAAAAATCTTTCCAAAATTCTTCAAAAAATGACTGAAGTAAACTACAAATCCCCGTCCTCACCAACTTTCTTTCCCAACAAAAATTCTTTTTTCAATACTTTCACCTTTTTCTTATCCTATCTGTCTATAATGAGGATTTACAACTTTAATAAACCTAAAAATAACAAAATTTCATCAATTACTCGATTAATTGGCTTGCTTTTACTGCTGCTGCAAGCGGTGCTACCGACCACCGCTAATTTAATTTTCCATCAAAGTGGGTTATTTGGAATTTTTGAAAATTATTTTTAAATATTGAGGGAGGCTATAGGTTCAAGAAAAACACAAAAATAAAATTAAATAGAAAAAAATAAAATTTCTAGTCCAAAATATTTGAGAAAATAAAAAACGTGTCTGAAGAGATAGACCTATCTTTTCTATTGTAACTCGAGTTATACTTAACCAAAAATTCTGAAATTTGGGGATTAGTTAGAGAATTCTCTCAGAAATGTCTATACAAAATTTCAGAATTTTCGAAGATCTGGAAAATTTTATACAAAAATATGACTGTGGTTTAACTCTTAAATAGACATATGCCTACATTTTTCGCCATAACTCTGAAAATAAATGCCCAAAAATTCTGAAATTTTGGGATTTACTAGGAAATACTCTCAAGAATAAGTTTGCAAAATTTCACATTTCTAGCTAAAGTTTAAGCAATTTTATAGAAAATTAACTATAAAAAATTTTCAAGTTGAAATCGGCAGCGACTGTATGAAAGCAATGTGCCTAGCCGACAGTGGGTGTATTCAAAAAGGATGCAGCCGAGATGTTTTTGATCGGTTGGGTTGTGGGTATTTTAGAATGAATATTTGGCAGTTTAAACAATGCTATGAACCGGGAAGACAGATTGGGGAAGATTCTGGTAAGTTAATTTAATCGGATTAAAGGAAATTCTGATTTTAATTCTGAAAAATATTCTGAAAAAATTATAAAAAAATTCTGATCAGAAAAATCAGAATTCTGAACATTCTGAAAAATATTCTGAAAGAAAATCAGAATTCTGAAAAAAATTCTGGAAGAATTCTGAAGGGAAAATCAGAATTCTGAAAAATTCTGAAAAATATTCTGGAAGAATTCTGAAAGAAAAATCAGAATTCAGAAAAATATTCTGAAAATTCTGATATCAAAAAAACTTCTGAATTTAAAATTCTGATTTTTATAAACTCAGAAAGTGCTTGGATACGGTGTTCTGAAGATTATGAATGTGCTTCTAAATGCATTGTGCAAGTAGCTAGCCGTTTCCGGCTTAAATGCTACGGGAAAAGTGACTGCGAGACTATAGCTAGGCTTCATGATGGCGGCGCTAATGGGTTTTTAACTTGAAAAAATTTTCAAAAAAATTTTATTTAAGGTGCCGAACAGGAGATACTTTGCCCTATTGGGTGACTGTAAAATCGTTTTGCCCAGACTGTTGAGGAATTTTTTAATGAATTTTGATTTCAATATGATTTAATATTCATCGGAAAATGAAGCTCATTTTTGTGATTTTCTTATCAATTTCTTTCTCAAAATTATTTTGTCTGTAATATGTTAAACTGAGGAACTGTGAGTCGTGTCGAAAAGCTATTCTCCTCCTGAACTCTTGCATTAAGTACGCCTCATTTTAAATACTGCTCAAGGACATAATGGATGGTGAATGTGATAATAGTACCTTATAAACTCCCAGTTGACCCAATGGGCTAGCTCTGCCCCCCCCCCCCCCATCCCCCCATCTCAAGGGGCAGCTACAATATGTAGATTCTCCTGAATACTCCTGCTTTCTTAATTACTACCCGAGGTGATATTAGATGGGGAACGCGTCAACAGTTATTTTATACCCCCGCATATAACTCAACTCCGGTAATAACACTATCTCAGAGACAGGCTTCTATGCGGGTGGAATGGTTCCCTTACATTCAAAAAACCAAATTAATCTTCAAAATTCACCCACCAATTTGCTGCCTTTTCCCCAGCAAGTCTAGTACAGTTTAGTCTACTTTGTTGTCCAGCCCCCATTCCAATAACCTGCCCTCGATATGCAAAACAAACAGCATCACTTTGCGTGTATTTAACGGCAACACAGGCAACCTGAGATTTTTAAAAATTAAAATTCCTCGGTGAATTAGCCCTCAAAATCCCTCACCAATAAATCATCCACCGTCTCAGCAGTAATTTCCCCTCCATCCCCAACAGCTACATCAGTAAAGGAATCAGTAGAGAGAGCAGCAGCATTGCGCTTTTGTTTTAATTTGAGGCCAAAAATTGTGCGGACTTCGTCTTCGGCGGGAAGGTTTTTTGGGTCAATCTATTTTTGAAAAAATTTTTTTTTGCAATTTTAAGATCCATTTTCACTAGTTTTTCAAACATAACTTTCTGATTATTCAACAAAATATTTTAAAATTTATAGAGAAGGTAGACAGGTCTATTGGGGATAGTTATGCAAAATTTCATTCCTGTAGGTTTTCGCAATGTTGAGATACTCAGGTTCGCGCCGTAATGGTCAGGCGCCGTAAAGACCCCAATAAATTTCAGAATTTTACAGAAATTCTGATTTTTTTCAGAAATTCTGATTTTTTCAGAATTTTTTTCAAAAAATTCTCAAGCCCCTTACCCTTAAAATAATATAATTTCCATTTTTCTTTTTTGCCAACATAGACAAAGCCTGGTCATCATAATCTGGGGCAATCACTCCATCACTTATTTCTCTACTAATTAGTCTAGCCGTAATTTCATCACATTTTTGTGACAAGGCAATAAAATCGCCAAAAGAAGACATTCTGTCTGCACCTTAATTTAAGGGGGAAATTAAATTTTAGGCCTTTAAAATTTAAGAAATTTTGCAAAAAGAGAAGGAAAAAGATTTTTTTTAAGGTGAATCGGTCCTTGAAGCGTTTAAGCTCCCTCTCTCTCTCTCTTGTGTTTAAGCCTATCTAAGGTTTCTAGACGTTCACTACACACAAAAAAGATAACGAGACAAAACAAGCTAAAATAAAGACTAAAAAAGTCTGGTTGATAGATACCTTCCTGGACAACTTGACACCTTCCAGTAATTAGAAAACTTAAAGCTAGAAAACAGAAAAAAAGCGAGAAAACAAATTTAAAGGCGATTATGTTACCAAAAATTTTCTTCACTAAAATTGTGTTGTGTGTTCTGATATGCCAATATTGTTCTAAAGTTATGTTTCGGAAAAATAAAGTCTAGGGCGATAGTGTGTTTATTAAATTAGGTATAGATTTTGTTAGAAGGAAGGTGTTAGTATATTTTGTCTACTCCAATTATAAGGGCACATTAGAGAAAACTAGAGATGTGAGGGTTACAGAGGTAAGGAGCTCGTCTTGGTCCTGTCTCTAGGGAAAACTAGGGATCAGTTTAATAGTGATCCATGTACCAATGTCCTCTCACTACCGGAGTCTTATTAAAATTTGAATCCCTTCCCACAAATATTATAGTAACCCTTTTCCAACCTCTAGCCCTAGCAAGTGCCGATGCCAGTGATGGACGTCGAGGGTCTATCGACAAATCTGCCACCTTTAAAAAATTAAATTTTAATCCTTTTTTGGTCTTATCTAAACCATTAAAGATTGTGCTTCAGTATCATTTAGAGGAACACCGATTGCTGCACCTGCTGGACTGACATGCTTGAAGGAAGCGGCTGCAGGTTGACCTGTAGCTTCTGCCAATTCTGATACTAATTGCCAGGCGTTTAACCCGTCGAGAATATTTATGTAGCCTGGCGACCCGTTTAAGACTGGAAAATTAAAAAATTAAAGGGACTCTCCAATAGAAAGGATAAGCTCTCCAATAATGAGGCATCTCTCTAATAGTAAGATATCTAGCTCAATAGGGCATTTCTAATAGTAGGAAAAACACTCTCTAATAATAAGGTCCTTTGTAATAATCAAAAAGGCATCTCTCGGCACTCTCCAATAATAAGACATCTCTCTAATAGTAAGGCACTCAATAGTTAAACAAACAATTCACCTTTAATTGGCATATCCATTTGTAAGGAATACAAATCTGCTTCGTTTCCGTCTTCTATCACAGCGTTAGAATTACCGTTTAAACGATAAGAATCATAAGGATCGTTTTGACGTCCAAGTGAGTTATTAGCATGTTGTCCAAGCAGTTTACGTCTCATAAATCTCCCACAAAGGCCATCGTCCAAATGAGAGTGGTGACAATGACGGCCACAGGAAGAATTCTTCTCGAAGGCCTGGAAAGGGGTTTTGGAATTTTGAGGAGATTAGAAATATTTTTTTTGAATTTTTTGGCAACTTTGAAAGTAGCTTTACATTACTTGTTTTTAAGTTAGGATTTAAATAGAAGAGGAAAATAAAGTTTAAGAAAGCATGAGAAAGTTGAACTTTTAAGTGGATTAAAAAAGTAATGGAGATTAAATTTTGTTTACAAAAATATTTTTTGTTTTTGTTTTCTTACCGCAACAATTCGAAGAAAGAAGCTAGAATCAAGCAGTCGAGAGTGTGACTTTGACCTACAGAAAACTTTTAATTTCTGATTAATATATAATTTTTAAATTATTCTGATTAATAATTCTGATTTTTTATGAGAGAAATTCTGATTCTCTTAGTCGGTAATTCTGATTTTTTAATCAAAAATTCTGATAAAATTATTCTGCTTTTTTTATGAGAGAAATTCTGATTTTTGTATTAGTAATTCTGAATTTTAAAACCAAAATCTGTCCTTTATAAGGCCAGAATTCTGATTTTTGTTGTCAATTGTATTATCAGAATTTTGATTTTTAATCAAAAATTCTGATGTCCTGGTAAAATTCTGGTTTTTTAAGAATTCTGGTTTTTTCAGAATTCTGGTGTTCTGGTAAATAATTCTGTTTTTTTTGTCAACCTTCTTCTCGCAGAAAGAAATTTAGCCACAGAAGGGAGTCTTCCTCTAGGTCCCCCAGGCGATCCATGCCCATAAGTACTGCTACAACTTTTATTTATCGATGAAGTACTGGGCCCTCCATTTTGTTGCAGTTCCAAATCTTTTTTTCTTTCGTCTTCCAATGCTGCAGCCACTCTTAATCGGGCCATTGAAGAAATTCTGGACATTTTTTAAAAATTGTGAATAAGACGTTTTTGGCGTTATTTAAAAATTTTTGGCATTTTTTGGCGTTTTATTATTTTTTAAAAATAATTGTTGGACTTGTGTACTTATTGTTGTTGTTTACTTTGTTGTTTTGTTCCGCGTTCAGAAATTTTTTTATTTTAAAAAATTCTTCTCTAATGGCATTCTTTCATTTATGTCTCGAAGAGTAAATAGGAGGATTGGATGAATCGCACTAAAATTTTCTTCTTTTTCCCCTTTTCTACTTCCCTCTATATCTATGCCTCGATGGTTTTACCTCTATAAAATTAAATACTAAATTCCCAACTCATTCCCCGCCCATTGAAGCATACTTTTTGGGGTTAAATTAAGTCAAAATTTGGGAGGAGTACAAAAAAGGGGCTTTATAAACGGGGGTTTTAAAGGTAGTATAGGTTGATTATATAATTAAGGGTTGAGAGAGTCCATGTTGGATTAGTGTCTAGGATAAGTCCTCTGATGGTTATATCATCTTAGGTGTGAGGACCGACTGTTAACTATCATGGATATGAAGTCTGACCTCCTATAAATGAGGTCAGACTTTGGAGTTGAAACATTTACATGTTCTGGACCGAACCAAACCGGATAACCGATGATTTTTCGAGTCAGTTTCGGATATCCGAAAAATTTCCAGGAAACCGACAACCCTAATGTGGTGATCTCCTGCCTGTGTAATGAGGCTCTCCTGCCTTGGTGGCCAAACTTTAAAAGACATTCTAAATTGGGGTTATTTAATATTAGATGGGTGAGGTACGGTTGTTAAGGTACGAATGGTATGAGGTCTGATTTTAAACAAAAATTCAAAAAATACCCCTTCCCAAAAACTCTAATTTACTCAATATCCTTCCCCCCACAAATATCCTCAACAACAACCCTTCCCCTCACATTTTTAGCCCGTTCTCTCTCCCTTCCGTACACCAATTCCCAAAGTCCAAATATTTTCACTCCCTTTCCACCAATTTTCTTTTTAAAAAAAAGTTTGCATTGCGAGACCATTGAGCACACATCTTTTTTAAAAAGTAGAAGAGACCACTCTCGCTAATTTACTTCACAAAGCTTTTTTACCTCATGTGTTTTTTTATTTATTTTAAAGGGAGAGAATTGACTCGCGCCGTTTTTTTTGGTGGTAGAGGAAATTGGCGGTTTTTTGAGGGAAATTTGATGACTTTAAAAGACATATTGATGACTGGGAATATTTTGAAGAGAAAAATAAGGGGATGGGAAATAAATAGGAAAAAATAGGTTTAAATTGATTGTAATTTTTAAATAAATTTTTGAAAAAACAAAAAAAAATAGAAATTGAACAAGTTTGAATATTATGGAAGGACAAAGGAGACTGTTAAGGAAAAGTGGATTTTGAAGAATTAGACACTTGAACGAGGTTAATGTGGGGATAAGAGAAGGGACCGAACTCTTTTCTTCGGATTTGGGATCCGGCTCCAGAAAAACTCTAGCCGGATCCCGTGCCGATCACTAATAATAATCTCAGACTGGATGGAGGATAAGGAATTTTGGACTGGTGCTAATCCAAACAGAAAATTCTTATATAATTTTGGATTGTTCTAAAAATATTCTTCTCTCCCGAAAATATTCTCAAAAAAATTTTTTTTATTTTTGAGCCAAAAAATCAAACCAATGTAAGCCAAAAAAATCCAAAAAATCGAACCTACTTTTTTTTCTCTAAAGTCAAGTTGATGTTTAATTTTATTTTAGTTGTTAGAAAAATTTTTTTTAAGTATTCCTCAGAAAATATAAAAAAATATTTCAGGTGGAAAATTCAGATTTTTTAAAATAAAAAGAATAAAATAAAACAAAAATTCGTTCCCTTTTATGGACAAAACCAAAAGTTAACTCGAACGGATCCGATAATTTTTAAACGAAATTATGGCTCGGTGGTACGTTGGGGGTTTACCCATAACAGACAACTAAAGTAATTCTGTCTTTGCCTGTTTTTAGAATTTTTCCGAAAATTTCGAAATTTTCCTGCCAAAAAATATACAATCCTTTAAATATTTTTTAATATTTTTTGAAAAATACAAACTCAAAATTATATTTAAATAAAAATTGGTGGAGGGTCTACAAGGGGGGAGATCAGCAAAAAACTTTTTTTTAAATTAAAATTTCAACCGATTAATCTCCAGTGCTCATCAACAATTCCTTCCTGCGTTCTGCCAACTGTTCCGCTTTTAATTTCAACTAAAAATTTACCAAAAAATTTTTCTAAAAAATTTCCAAAAAAACCTCTTGCAATTTAATTTCCTCGTTAGACAAAGCATGGTGATACGTGTCAATCTTCTTTCGAATTCCCTCAATTTTTTTGGACCCATTAGCAATAGACGACTGCACAGTGAGTTCCTCTTGACACAAAGACCAAAGTAAAGCTTGCTAAAAAAAATTTTCTTTTAATTTAAGCAAATTGATAATTTTGAGACATTATGGGAATTTTTGCGATTTTCAAGGGCTTTAAGGTTTTTTGAGGCCAAAAATTTTTAAAATTTCCAAAGGGCCGTAAAGTTTAGTTGCGAGAAAATTTATAATCAAAAACCTTCTTTTTGTTCTTTTCATCTTCAGAAAACTCCTCCGCCGTCTTTAATATTTTCTGTCCATTAACAATGTCAGGAGGACTTTGGAAAGATGGGATATCATCCTGAAAACATAAAAAATTTTTTTCAATGGAAATTTTTTTGGAAGAACATCCCGTCCGTGAAACAAAAGACATCCCCGAACTCCGACATGCTCTCCCTAGCAAACCCTGACTCCGAAGGGTCGGAGTGCTATCCTAGTTTTAGAAATTTTCTCGCAGGCTTAAGGTCTCGAATTATTCCCCAACCCTCATTCAAATAAAAAATATTTTCCAAACCTCAGTGTTCGCCGGCACTTCTTCAGCTTCCTGTTTGACTACCTTATTTCCAACACTTTTATTTTCGGCAATTCTTTTGTTGTTCTTGACACTAGATGAATCCGTCGGAGGAGGAGATTTTGAAGGAGGAACAGAAACATTATTATTTGGTTGGAAATCGTTTGGAGATGTATTCGTTGGACGCATTGGCATGAAAGGGTTCGGCGGAGGAATGTGTGGATTAAATGAAGGAATGGGTCCATAAGATCCAAAACTGAAATATAAAAGAAATCCTTATCAAATACACAAGACAGTTAAAGTTAGCAATTAAACCGCCATCCTGAATTGAAAGGCCCAGAAAAACAGGTAAAACCAAAAAAGATCCAAGCCCGTGTTTTGGATAAAAGAAGGCTCCAATTATTGGCAATAAGCTACTTTACATGATGGAATCATCCAATCTATTATGTCAAATATGACCTAGACCTGTCAAGATGATGACCCTGCTTTAAATTGATTGTCAGGAAAAGACTTGAGGTCCAGGGAAAATACAGAACGAACCCCGGTTCTGAAAGGACAAAAAAGGCTATGACAGGTTCCAAAATATTAATAAGACTCCCATTTTTAAAAGTAAAATTAAAAACCTTTCCAGAAGATGCATAGGAGGAACGGGAAACATAAAAGAAGGTCCAGACGACATTGAGATTGGAGATTCATGTCGATGCTCCTAAAAATATTTAAATAAAACCCCAAAAAAATATTTTGAAAATATACAAAATTGTTCCCAATTCTCTGCGAAGCAACATCCTCCAAAAAATCAATTGGACAACCAGAATGACCATTATTAGAGTCAATGAAATTGTTGCTTCAAATAACAATTTCATCAAAAAATTAGTGATTATCTTAGAGATTTAAATATTAAAAAATCCAGAAACTACCCTTACAAAGCCATTTTTAAATTAAATCTTGAACTCTTTTAACTAGTGCGCAGCAAGATCGATTTTTCCGAAGTCGGTCGCGGATTTATAAGCAGAGCCGGACCAAAGCCGGGCAGATTCTTCTGGATTAGCCATGTCAGAAAATAATCCGGAGGGAACGAAAGAATCCAAATTTGGGACCCTACTCCGGAAAACCAAGCCATGTCCGGAAAAATTCGCGCGGACCCGCTCCGGGCACCACGCACCAATTTAACCATTAATTTAAACAAAAACCTCTTGGAGCCTTTACTCGCTTCCTCATCCACAAACTTTTTGTTTCGTTCTTTAAACATTTCCTGAGCTTTAGAATGTTTATAGTTTGCAATCTGTTTCGCAGTAATTGAGTCAAAATTGGTGGGAATTTTTAATGCCTTCCTAACGACGTTGACAGTTGATGGATTAGTTGAATTATTATTAACTGTTGAGTTGGTCATAGCGTCTTTTTTAAACTTTTTCTTGAAAACGTTACGTTCAAAAATAATGTCGTTAACCATTAATTAAAGTTACAATTCTTTTTAAAGACACAAAACTGAAAAGAAAATTATTAAATTTTGGGAAAAATGGCTACCCTACAACTCATCCAATCCTTAACTCATCTAACACTTAACTCATCCACACGGCCAAAAACGCTCAACTCATCCAATCCTCAACTCATCTAATGCTTAACTCATCCACACGCCCAAAAACGCTCAACTCATCCAATCCTCAACTCATCTAATGCTTAACTCATCCACACGCCCAAAAACGCTCAACTCATCCAATACTTGAAATATCGGCCGGTTGAGTCCCTAGCCGGTTGAGTCCCTGGTCAGTTGAGTCTCAACCGGCCCAAGACTCAACCGGCGGTAATCAACCACTCAAACGGCCGGGACTCAACTGACCAGGGACTTAACCGGCTAGAGACTCAACTGGTCATGGACTCAACTAGCCATGGACTCAACTGGTCATGGACTCAACTGGTCATGGACTCAACTAGCCATGGACTCAACTGGTCATGGACTCAACTGGTCATGGACTCAACTGGTCATGGACTCAACTAGCCATGGACTCAACTGGTCATGGACTCAACTGGTCATGGACTCAACTAGCCATGGACTCAACTGGTCATGGACTCAACTGGTCATGGACTCAACTGGTCATGGACTCAACTAGCCATGGACTCAACTGGTCATGGACTCAACTGGTCATGGACTCAACTAGCCATGGACTCAACTGGCCATGGACTCAACTGGCCATGGACTCAACTGGCCATGGACTCAACTGGTCATGGACTCTACTTACCAGAGACTCAAACGGCCAGAGACTCAAACGGCCAGAGACTCAAACGGCCGGAGACTCAAACGGCCAGAGACTCAAACGGCCGGAAACTCAAACGACTGGTACTCAAAAGTCTCGTTCCAAAGGATTGAATGAGTTGAGCGTTTTTGGCCGTGTAGATGAGTTAAGCATTAGATGAGTTGAGGATTGGGTGAGTTGAGCGTTTTTGGGCGTGTGGATGAGTTAAGCATTAGATGAGTTGAGGATTGGATGAGTTGAGCGTTTTTGGCCGTGTGGATGAGTTAAGGAATTTTAGCCGTTTAGATGAGTTGAGCGTTTTTGGGCGCGTGGATGAGTTAAGGATTAGATGAGTTGAGCGGGCACGGGAAAAATTGGAAGTTAATCAAGGAAAATGTGGAAATAGTGTGAAGAGATTGTTAGAGAAAGAAAATTGCATAACGCCAAAAATGTGCCAAAAAATAAATTTAATCTAAATTCAAAAATAAAAGTACCTCCCCAAGGTGATTTAAAGCTGTATAACTCGGGAACTAATGGACCAATTTTTATAATTTAAAAACCATTCGATAGAGAATTTGTTCGGCTACAAAATATAAAAAAACTAGAATTTTAGAAAAAATATTTTAAAAGTTGTAGTCAAAAAATTAACATTCTTCACTCCTTTTGTGAAGGTTTTCTCTTCATTTTTTGTTAATTTGCCAAATTTTTCTTTAATTTCGCTAAATTTAGTTTTACTTTAATTTATCAAAAATGCAGTTTTTTATTTTTAAAGTAAATTTTATTTTTGTTTATGCACAAAATACACAAAAAAATTACAGAAATAAATTCATTTTTGAAAAATTGGCCTTGATACAAAATTGTAAAATTCATTTATTTGATCGGATGCAAATTTTCAAACATTTTAAATGGTTGATTAACTTAGTGGAACGTGAAAATATACAAAACAGAGTGATAAGTAAATTATAGTTCAATCAAAAAAATTTTTTTCAATGAAAACATACTACACTTTTTGAAGGTCACTCAACCTCTATTTTCGGCGAATTTATCAAATTTTATTTTTATTTTAAATTTAAATTTGCGGAAATTCTTTACTACAAAATATAGAATAAATTAAAATAAAAATAAGAAATATTTAGCGTTTCTGCCTCAAAAAAATTTTTTTCTAGAAAAAAATTGAAAGATTTTTTCTAGATGTTTAAACAAAACAAGAAATATTTAGTCAAGTTTTATTGCTGATTTAATTTGTAGTTTGAAGTTGAAGACCAAATAAGTTTATAAAATGTTCAAAAAATGTTTACTATAAAAGGCCCAATTAAATAGCCATTTTTATCACTTCACAATTTCTTAACTCTTTTAAAAACAAAAAACTGCCAAAAATGCTTTCTTACAAATTGACTCTTTTTGTGATTTTCTTTCTATTCGTTTCTGTTGCCATTGCTGATTTGACAGCAGATAATGAAGGCTTAATAAAGCAAATGGACAGGAGGTAGTGGGTACAATAAAGCTGGGGATCCCACATCTGTCTACCAAATTTCATCCCGAAATCCCACGGACACCTTAGGCACTCTCCTTTTCAGATCGATGCTAACCCAGTGTATAGAGCAGGGCTCGTATCGACAAAATGCCACTCAAAAGTATCAGAATCTCGATTAAAAAGTATATAGGGAGAAAATTTGCAAAAAAAAGTAGTCTCAAAATTAAATTAGAAAATATTTATTCGTCCTCAAATCTTTCATATTTTTCTCCTAAATTAATCTTTTCTAATAATTTCTTGTTTCAACTGAGCATTTTGCCAATTTCAATGCACCTTTTGTGGCGCCGAAGGCGCCACAAGTCTTTTATTTTTTGCGCCGCAGGCGAAAATTTTGAGAATTTTGGAGGCCGTAGGCCAGAAAATTCACTTTTTTGCCCAATTCCTTCCCCAATTTCATTTCAATCAAAAAAAAGTATATACTTTCAAAAAAGCATAAATTCAATTTCGTAAGCATGGAGGTCGATTTAAAAGTAGAATACTTTTAAAAAAGTAGGAATCGGAGCCCTGGTATAGAGCTAGTCAAGATTCTGAGGACTCCATTAGTAATTCTCAGAATCATGTCCAGTAATTCAGAATTTAGGAACTAATGGCCTAAGGTAGTAAAAATCCTGGCTCTATTACACAATATACGTCCAATCAACTATTATGCGTCCAATCAACTATTATGCGTCCAATCAAAGTTTATACGTCCAATGAAAAGTTTATGCGTCCAATGAAAATTTATGGGTCCAATGAAAAGTTTATGCGTCCAATCAAATTTTACACGTCCAAACATATTTATATCATTTATAATTTAAAATAAATATAATTTAAAAATCATGGATAAGGATAATATCCGGATACCCGCGGATATTCCGGATACGGACGGATATGGATAGTGGTTTTTTTAAAATTGGACGGATACGGATGGACACTGATATGAAGCTACAAATCCACGGATATCCATCCCTAATTTCTGCGATTTAAGAGCACTAATTAAAAACAACACTAAAATCTGCGGTGCGTACAAAGTGAATTTTTTGGCTTATGGCCTTCCAAATTTCTCAAAATTTTCTATTGCAGTCAGGGTGGTATATATTTTTAAATGGATCTCTGATATCCAAAGAGCAAAGCGTTATGAAAAATAAAAATTATTTTGATTTTTTCTGAATTTATTTTTTACTGGACGTATAAAATTTATTTGGACGCATAAACTTTGATTGGACGTATAAAAATTTGATTGGACGCATAATTTTTTATTGGACGTATAAACTCTGATTGGACGTATAAAAGTTGATTGGACGCACAATAGTTGATTGGACGTATATTGTGTAATAGAGCCAAAATCCTTCCTATTAATCACCTAATCATATTTCTTCAATTTAACATCAAAAATTTCAATTTTAAAGTGTTCGTTCAAAACGTTATGGCTACTATTATGAATGTTGTTGCTGCTATGGTGGATATGGCTGGGGAGGATATGGATATTGGTGATGAGTAAAATGAATTTAATTAAATAATGTGATTATACTGTAGGATCTTTTGCCATTCAAAATTTTTGTTAAAATTTTTTAAAAAAATTGGATAAAGCTGTTTGAGTTTAAAAAAAGGATAATGATAGTCAAATTTGAGCTAAAAAATGTAAATAAAAAATAAGCGAGAAAGAAAATAAGCTAAGAGAGAGAGTGTGGCTGTCAGTAAAAAAATAAATATTGATTTTGGGTGTGGAGAGAAAGAATTTCGCAATAAAGTCGCCCTATATTTTATTGCTAAACAAAGTCATTCATTGTTTCCAAACAAAAAATTTAATTTTTCTCCCCTTTAAAGGCACTATCTTTCGCTTTCTCTAACAAGAAATCCGGAAAATTTTCCGGAAAATTTGCAGCATTTAAATCGCACAATCCGGAAGGGGTTAGACAAAAAGGGAGAGAGTGTGTGGCTGTCAGCAATTTTATAAGAGAGACAATCCGGAAAAAGAAAGTTTCTCAACCTTTCTCAACCTTTTTCTCTTACAATAGACTTTTTCAACATTTCATTCTTAAATAAATTTTTTTTCCAATTTTTAGATTTTAAAAGCTTAAAATTATTAAATACAATGGATATCGATTCTAAAAATAAAAATATTTTAAGGTATTAAATTAAATAAAATTATAATTAATTTATTTATTCCAGAGACTCTCTCTCCTCAGAGGTTTTGACGGACATTTTCTCCTTTTTACCCCGAAAAAAATTAATTAAAAATGTCGAGCTTGTCAACAAATATTTTTTTGAACTTTCCAAAGAAAATGTAAAATCTGCCCATTTAATCACTAAAAATGAAAATTTTATCCAAAATTTGGCGAATAATTTGGAAGAAGCTAAACAACAATATTTAAATTTATCTTCAAGTGAATGTAGTTTAGCTGAACATTTTGCTTTAAAAAATGTTTTTAATGTTGTAATTAGCAGTGATGAGAAAACGAATAACCCTCAATATAAGGTTTTAAAATTAAAAAATTTTTTTTGACTCCCCAGGTAACTAAAAATCCGAAAAATAGGCTAGACAAAAAGTTAGAGAGTGTGTGACTGTCATTAATTTTATAAGAGAGACAATCCGGAAAAATTTTCCGGAAAAGTTTTTCCGGAATTTTGGAAAAAATTTCTTTTCCGTCCGGAATTCCACTTTAACCTTACAAAAATTTCCAAAAAATAATTTTCCAATTAAAAAAATTTTTTTTCCTATCAAGCGTCGTTGTCGCTACCAAATGTGTGTTTTGCGTCATTCATTAGACATTTTTAAAAATTGTTTCATCAACATAGACACATTAGATTTTGGGAAAAACTTTATTGATTCTGATTTACAAGAAATCCTTGCCTATTTAAATATTTTGGATTCTGTTTGCCCTTCTAGAATTACCTTAGAATTACACCATTCAATTCATCAAACTCCAGTTCATTTACGGTATCAGATCTGTCAGGTAAAAAATAAAAGAAATTTTTTCCTGATACTCTTCCCTTACCGTATTTTTTCGATTCCCCACCCGCCTCCAAGTGCCCTACTACACGTTTAAATTTCAAAACTTGAATAATTCCACATACGGATTGGTTGAAATATTAATTCCCCATGGAACCGGACTGGGCCGAGACTGAAATGAGGTTACCGGATGAGCTATAATAAGGGTGAGGAGGAGGGGGGGGGGGGGGGTTGTGGCAGGGTGTTTGTGGCCCCCTCTTTTTGTGAGGCCATGCCCCCTTTTGGTGGTTTGGAAAGGCTCACCATGGGCTGTGGTATAACAGAATGTTATACCATTTTTTGAAAATTCCCACCCATTTTCAGGAATTATTAAATAACCAAGCCATTCTAAATTGTCAACTACTCGAAATTTTCAACGACAAAATTTTTAACGAACCAGGCGTTGATTCAATAGTTAACTGGCTTCATTATAAAAAAATTAATGAGGGGACTTGTAAAAATTATTTTGATAATACATGCCGTAATTTATGTCTTATGAAATATAATATGGCTAATGAATTAATTGAAAGATGCAAAAAGGCGAGTTTTTTGGAAAATTTTTAAAATAAAAAAGTGTTTTCCCGGAAAAAAAATTAAAATCTGAATTAGAGCACTTTATATGGTTTCTGATTAGAACACTTATTACGAATTAGAACACATTACGGGACCCCTGGTATCTAACAGAGATGGTTCGGAACAGTCAGAGGTGTCGGAACTCGGAAGAGCTGGAAATCGGAACTGGCTCAAAAGTCGGAACTCGGAAATCAAAATTTTTTTCGGAAATCGGAAATCGGAAGGAAAAAGACATAGGAAATCGGAATTCCGACTCTAAAAAATTTTGAATGAATTTTCTCCTGGTATCTAACTAGAGTTACATATGTTTTAGGCTTTAAATTTTACCAAGGCTTGAGGCCATTTTAAAATAAAATTACCAATCTAAAAAATTTTATTTTCTAGAATTTACTCGAGTCCGTAAGTACAGAAGATTGCCGTTTTTATTTATTGATATTCCATTCTGACAAAATTTTGAATGAATTTTCTTTGGAAAATACAAGGAGTGGGGAAATTATTTTAATGAAAAATATAAAGGATGTAAATGTTGAGGATGATGTTAGGTGTTATTCATTAACAAGATGTCAATTAAATATGGAGGAGAGAATTATTCGAAATTATTTTTCAAAGCTGTTTGATACTAGATTTGAAAGTTTACCTTTAATTCGGATACATTAAATAAAAATTTTTTTGTTGCACTTTTTTGAATTTATTTATCTATTAAAGGCTATTTTTTATTAAATTTTTTTCTAAAAAAACGGAAATAAGAATATTCAAAACTATTCAAAGCTACAAAATATGACATATTCTAGTATTCAATAACCACGTATCTTCTCAACCACCAGTGACGCCTTTTCTTTCCGGGATGCCTCGTCGGCGGCCTGTGTCTTCGTCTAATATAAGGTATTCGCCTGATATATGTTGGCCTTTTAGGTCGTCCGGTCCGGCCCGGCGCCGATCCGGGAGCCGGGATACCCGTGCATCACTACCGTGTAGTAATTATGGCCTCAAAAAACAAACTAACGTTTTTCGGCATCTGTTATTTCTAAAGGAGCAGAATATTTTTCAATTTCACCATCCAAAAATACAGGAATTGAATTTTCTATTCCAGATTTCCACTAAATTTGATTTAGGTAAGTTAAAAAATATTAAATTTTTAACTTTTTTCTCAAGATGTTCACTCAATCCAAAATCATAGAATTTAGGGGCTGGTTCAAATAATTTATAGTCCCAGTGATATTTCGAGTGCTGTAGAAGGAATTCTGAATAGAAGTCAATATTTATTCTGCTTCATACAATACTTAAGTTGAGCAGTCAAAAAAGCTTGGAATGGGAACACAAAAATATTGGATTTTTCGTTATGAAATGAGACAGGTTTTCTTTTAAATATTTCTTAACTAAGCTTATTGGGTTGGTTCGATCAAAAATTATCACATTTATCAAAAATTATCACATTTTCGGTTTCAAAACCAGACGCGCCCAACCTTAATAGGTACTTATTTGGTACCCCAGCCAGTCTATATAGTTTATATTTTGCCTTAATATATACAGAATAGTCAGACTTTATTTATTCATCAGATTGACACCCTATACCATGAGTCACCAGCTCACGCAATTGGGACTAGGCCAAAGTTGGGTGGGTATCTGTGTGGCACTTCTATATTTGCATTTAAGAAATTATAAGACCACGCATTTTATTGTGGTTGCAAAGTTCCAACTGATTAAATGGGTTGGAATTTTTACCATTATTAGATTTTCTATAAATATTAGGATAATGAAAGTTCTAAGACTATTTTTGACCATTCTGTAAATATGAAGGGAAAATAAAAACAAGACTAAGAGAAGGGGGAGTGGGACAATATAAATATGTATCATCATAGTATCACAATAAAAAATTAATTAATTTAGTTAATTAATTTAGTCAATTAATTCTCTTAATTTCAACAGCAGCTTTGTCGTCCTCCTTTTTAATATAAACGGAAAACTTCATTTCTTGATTGTATTTATTGGAAATTTGATATTTTGTAATTTTCAAATAATTATTTTGAAAATTATCGTTGTCAAGATTAATTTCAATATTTTCTGCCCTTTCACTTATATTTAAATGACCAGTAACGGAATCTAATTTAATTTTTTAAATCATTTTTGAAAAGTCTTTTGATGTTTCTATATGCTGAAATAAAATTATTTTAAATTCTTTTAAATATTCATTTTTAAAATCTGATAAAGATTCAGAAGTCCGATAAAAATTCCTTTTCATCTTATGAGGCATAATAATAAATAAAAGGAAAAATGAGCGAGCACTTCACCCAACACAAAAGATGCAGTAAAGGGAATTTGCGGACAAGGGAACCGCTCAGAAAATATTAAAAAAATTTATATTGTATTGTTTTATTTATTCTCTATATATTTCCGACCCTATACGCAAATAAGGGTCGAATCGTTTTTTCCTTCATTTTTCCTTTGGTTAATTTTCCTTAGTGGAAAGGAGAAATGAAGGAAAAAACGATTCGACCCTAATTTGCGTAAAAGGCCATATTTTCTATAATATTAAAAAATCATTACCTCTATAATACGTTCATAAAGTCTAGGGTCAAGCTGGTAATAGGTGATATTTTTAAATTGCTTCCTTCCAGTAATTAAAAGGTCAAATAAAGCACTTAAACATCGCTCCACATTATAGCGCACATAATTCCAAACAGAGAATTTATTCGTGATTACATTATTCACGAAGAATTTAAAGCAATCACTGTCCAATTGGTCGATGAACAGTGTAGTATTTATAGAATGAATTATTTCTATCACTTGTGTGGCTTCATCTGTCGTGCTGGCTGTGCCAACAGTGCCATTGCAGCCAACAATGGTTTTGTTGTTTACGCAGCGCCACAGATGATATTTCTTTTGCTTCTCTCTATAATTATATTCGTGGTGTTCGTGTTGTAATTTGGGGTTACCCCTTTCTGATTTAGTAAAGCGGAGCATTTATTATAAAATATTAGAAAAATCGAAATTTCGAAACAGTCGAGAATTTTAAAATTAGCCTGAAATAAGTTGGATTTATACGAGGAAATAAAAATTAAATAATCTATTATTGAGAAAATATTTGAAAAATACCCCATTGAAAAATGCCTAAAATAAAAAGAAATTGAATAGAGAGGTCAATATTGATTGTTTCTTCTTTGAAAAAAAGCAAACTAAAAATATTTCATTTATAGTAAAAATAAATCGATGACAAATGAATTTTTCAATTATTTTTTAAATTTTTATTAAAAATTGTTTTTTTAAGTTCTGGCATTCGTCGTGGTGGTCGTTTGTTAATTGCTGGTAAATGGGTCTACGCAAAACACTACTAGCTATGACTAGTACCTATGTATTTTTTGGGAATTTGAAATTTTAAAAATTTGTGAATAAATGAATACAAATCTGATAAAGATAAATAGTATATCATTCGAAACAGCATTAAAAACTGTATTTAAAAATTACCGGCCGAGATTTTTTCATGAACTTACTGTAACGCCCAGTCTTACAATTAGACTTGTTAAAACACAAAAGTTTTTATATTAAAAATGCAACAAATTAAAAAAGAATTTTATATTTTATTGATATTTTGATTAGTACAAATTGAATTAAAATTATTAGCCATGTTTTTAGTATTCAATAACCACGTATCTTCTTAGCCACCAGTAAGGCCTTCTCCTTTTGTAGGGTCTCGGTCTCGGCCTTCGATAATATGGTCGTTTATTTTGAGGTCTTCGCCGACGATTTCTTGATCTAGGACGTGGGCAAATAACGCATTTACAGCCATTTAATTGGCATAAGCCTTTCTTGCAGGGTACACAACTGTAGGCCGCCCCTGCAACGGGAGAAGCACCATCTCCACCTCCTTCACCGCCGCCACCGTCCAAAGGATAAAAGCGTTTATTTCGACTACTTTAATAATTATTTAATTATAGAGATAATTATGTAATTAAAATTAAAATCCCCTCCTTATTGACATTTTTAACATTCGAAAAATTTACATAGTTAATAACTGTTCATTTTCGTTATTAAATTCCAACTGCTTCAGACTAAAGGTATTATTTGAAGAAGCTTCAACTCCATAGACATTCTTTGTTATGCTTTGTAGAGAACAAATAAATATATAAAGAATTAAATGGATAAATATTAACATTTCTAAAAATGTCTAAAAATTTTTTATAATAACAATGTCACTTTTTCAATGAATCAAATTTAATTTTAAAGTTTTTTACTTGAAATTAAAATAAAAAATTTGTGAAAGTTCTTTTTGAAGTTACATTTTAAGATTTTAAAAGTGCAATAAATGAGACAAATAAATTTTCAAAACAAATAGACAAAACGAATTAAAAGAAAATGATTTTTAATTTAATTAGTAAAATTAGATTAAAATTATTTTTAGTTTTTGTTTTTTAGTATTCAATAACCACATATCTTCTCAACCACCAGTAAGGCCTACTCCTTAAGCAATGTCCGGGTCCAATTGTTGAATAATATCTTCGTGTAACATATCGATTTCCTGATCTAGGTGCATTAGGAATGCACATGCATTTGCATGACATGCATTTGCCATTCCTATGATAGCCTCTACAGCAGGGTCTGCAAATGTATTGAGCACCATCTCCACCTGGATCTCCAAACCCACCGGACCAAATGTAACGTTTATTGCGATTGCTTCAATAATTAAAGTAGCAAGATAATTTTTAAATTTTGAAGTTTAGTTCCTTAATCCACCTTATTAACTAAAAATTAATTACGTAATCAACTTCTGATCATCCTTATTAAATTCTAATTGCTTCAGATTATTATTGAAGGGATCTTCAACTCCATATACATTCTTTGTTATGCTTTGTAGAGAACAAATAAATATATAAAAAATTAAATGGATTAATATTAACATTACTAAATATCTAAAAATATATCAACAATTTATTTTAAATAAATGATTTTAAAATTTTTTTAATTAAATTAAATAACACATATTAGACCCCGTCTTTTTTAACAATAGTTAACATTTTAAAGTGCAAAAATGAGGCAAATGAAATTTTTAAAACAAAATAAACACACAAAATGAATTTAAAGGAAATGATTTATTTTGTCAATGTATTTTTAATTTTTGTTTTTAGTATTCAATAACCACATATCTTCTAAGCCACCAGTAAGGCCTTCTCCTTTTGTAATGTCTCGGTCTCGGCCTCCGATAATATGGTCGTCTAATTTGAGGTCTTCTCCAATGATAACTTGGTCTAGGACGTGGGCAAGGCCTACAAATGCAGTCATGGCCATTTAAGCAATACCCTCTACTGCATTCTGGGCCAGAGCAACCGGCCCATCCATCTCCACCTCCATCACCTCTTCCGCCAGGTAAGTAACGCTTGTCGCGGTTGCTTTAATTGATAATAGTAAAACTGTTATAATTTATTTTTAAGATATAGCTTAAGATCCTCCTTAATAAACATCCTTATCTACTTAATAATTTTAACAATCAAAATATTTACATGCTCAACGTTTGCCCATCTTCATTATATTTAAAATCTAACTGTTTTAGATTAAATCCTTTACTTGATCCTTCAACTCCATAAACATTCTTTGTTAAGCTTTGCAGTGAACAAATAAATATATAAAAAATTAAATGGATTAATATTAACATTTCTAAAAATTCAAAAAAATATTTTTAAGGTATTAGCGACGTCCAAAGATCTTAGAACTAAAAATAAAACTCGAGATACCATGAGAAGCTTGATTAAAATCCCAAAGCTCGGAAGGGGATTAAACTAAAATCTCTTCGTGTTTCTTTTGTTTTCTGTCTTTTTAGAATGGTTTACCAACTCTATGTTTAATTTTAAATTGATAAAAAGATTTCTTCATTTAACAAAATTAAAAAGTTATTCATGATATTTAAACAAAATTATTTTAAAATTTTTTAAATTAAATTAAAATAAGAAATTCATGACCAGTTTTATTCTAACAATAGTTTCAATTTAAAAGTGCAATGAATGAGACAAATAAAATTTTCAAAACAAACACAAAATGAATTAAAAGGAAATAATTTTTAATTTAATTAGTTCAAATTGATAAAAATTTATATATTCTTTAGTATTCAATAACCAAATATCTTCTCTTCCACCAGTAAGGTCTTCTACTCCTATAATAAGGCCTTCTACTTCTGTAATGTGGCCTCCAATAGTGTCTTCTAACATAAGGTCTACGCCAATAATTTCTTGGTTTGGGACGTTTCTTCGTTGGAGATACACAACAACCGCAACCACAAGTGAGACCAGACTCCCTGCAACCACAACCGCCTCCACCATCTCCACCTCCATCTCCGAATCCGCTGCCAATGTGACGTCTCTTGCGATCTCTTTATTAAAGCTTTAGAATTGGATTGTGGATTGGAGCAAGGCTTTCGAGGAGAACTGAGGCTCCTTGACTATGTGCCACTCATTTTCCTTCAAAAACCTTGACCTTCTAACTGACTCAACATTAAATAATTATGGGTTATTTTTAAAATTTTGTCGTGTTCCCTCATTAATTTCCCGTAAATGTTCTTAAAAATCGCTCTCTAATAGAAGTACACCACTCCCTAATAAAAGCACAACCTACGAGAGGGTTAGGTATAAAATGTGGTTCTATTAGAACATTAAAAATATTTACTCAGTCAACTTTTGTTCATCTTCATTATAAGCAGGTTCTAATTGTTCCAGTCGAAAAATTTTATTAGGGGGACCTTCAACTCCATAAACAAATATATAAAGAATTAAATGGATAAATATTAGCATTTCTAAAAATTTTTTTTTTAAATTATCCTATTTTTTTAAATGAATGAAGAAAATAAAATAGTACGTTGTGAAAGTTTTAATTTATATTAACATTTTAAAATTTAAAAATTTTAAAATTTCATATAAAAAATACATTCTTGTTTTTATTATTACAAGAGTGCATTGTAATCAGACAAAATAATTGCCAATAATTTACTAATATTTTTAAAATTAAAAAAATTCTATTTTCTTGAATGAATAAAAAAATAAAAAGAAATAAAATTAAAATTTTTTTAGTTAATTCATGAAAAGACAAAATAATTTGGTTCTTGACTGATTATTTTTTTTTGTCAATTATTTCGAAAAATTTCCAATTAAATTTAATTTTAAAGTAGTCTGAGACTTGTTTTAATTTACTAATAGTCCAAGAAAAACGAACTTTTTATTAAATTAATTTTTTATAGAAATAATAGTTAGAATTTATGTATATCAAGTTAAAATTTTTGTCGATTTAAACGTTTAAATATATGTATGTAAAACAAAAAAATAATATAGATTTATTTTTCTTGTCAATTTAAAATTCATAAACCATCCATCTTCTTAACCATGTTTTCCTGTGTAAATGCCTTGGCTTCCAATAATGTTTTCGTTTAGCATTATGAGGTCTGCGCCAATGATGTCTTGGTCTAGGACGTGGACAAGGAATACAATCGCATTTAAGGGCACTGTAGCAAAGGCCTTTCCCACAGTAACCACCACCGCCAGCACCGTCTCCACCTCCATCCCCATTTCCGTCGCTAATGTAGCGCTTATTCCGATTGCTATAATAATTAATAAAAATATAAATTCTTAAAGCAGGCCTTTGATCCCCTCTTTATTATTAATAATCTAATGATAAAAATTATATTTACATAATCTCCGGCTGCTCGTCTTTATCGTAAATAGATTCTAATTGTTTCAGACTTAATCCTTTAGGGGGACCTTCAATTCCATAAACATTCTTCGTTATGCTCTGTAGAGAACAGATAAATATATAAAGAGTTAAATGGATAAATATTAACATCTAAAAAAATTTATATAATTATCGGGATTTTTTGGTATGTCTCTCTCGAGTTATGTCTCTCGTGAGAGAGTTATTATTATAGTTATCTCTCTCTCAATTATGTCCCTCTCCGTTCTCAGATCCATTTTTAATGATCAACATGTATCCAACCTGTTTTGGAGGGTTATAGTTATACTTGGGACAACCTTTCGGGCCCTTAAAGAGTTTTGAATTTACCTACATAAAGCTGCTCAGAGGGGGGCCAATGATTTCGGCTAGGGCGCTCTCCCAAGAAGGTCCTATCCTCTAGAAATAATTTTATTTTAAGATTAACTAATTTAATTTTTATAAAATAATTTTCCTTGGAGAAGTGTCATATTTATAGCAATTTTAAATTAAATAATGAATTAATTCCTTTAAAAATCTGAGAAATAAATTAGGAGCATCAATCTTTTTTTCCAATTTATTTGAATAAAAAACAAAAAAGGAAACAATTATTTAATGTTTTAATTATTCTATAATCAATTTAAATATTAATTAAATTAATTTCTCAGAAATAAAAAAAATTGTCAAGACATGTTAATTTCAAAAACAGATCATAAAATAAAAAGAATAAATTATTTGTGAATTTAAATTGAAAAAATTTAAAATTTAAATAAGCCATTAATGCAGAAAATTGTTTTTTGGTGATTAACAGAGGGTAAGGATTTGATTAAGATGGGATCAGTGTCAAGCGTTGATCGTTGAGTGTCAAGCATCTTGTTCTGAGCAATTTATTTTCACTGTAAACAGCACATAGGGAGCAAAACACTTTCAAACTTCGAAGAGAAGCAGAGCTACTTTGGAGACTGAGCAGGGCTATAATGAGCAGCCTCTCATACTTTGAGACTTCGAAGTAGAAGCAGAGCTACTTTGGAGAAGGAGCAGGGCCGTAATGAGAAGCCATCTTTCCCTTAAACAGCAGATAGGAACAGAACTACTCTGAAACTTTGAAGTAGAAGCAGGCTACTTCAGTGAAGGAGCAGGGCTACTTAGGAGAAGGAGCAGAGCCATAATGGCCATATAATGAGCCATATAAGCCATATAACCATAGCCATATAAGAAGCCATAAGGAGCCACATGGCCATAATAAACCATAATGGCCTTTCAGTTTCTGATCATTTCAACTCCCAATTTTTTATCTGGACAATTTTTTATATTAAACATACAGTGGTGGTCATATGTTTATGGACAACCACGATTTATCAATAAAATCCCTCATAACAAAACTAAATAAGAATCAACCGAAAATAAAAAACCACAGTTAAAATACTCAGTTCATTTGCTATAAAATAGTTTAGTTTTATTAAAATCCACCTTCATTATCATAATTAAAATCCGATCCAAATCTCTTCACCTCTATTTTTAACGCGTCATATGTTTATGGACAAATGATTTTCCATCTAAAACTTTGTAGATTAATGCCAAAAAATGAGATTATCGCTACTCCGTGGACATTTTCATTGATATTGAGTAGAAAATAAAAAGACCGGAGTCTATAACTTCTTTTTTCATCGAGATCTCAAATCTCGAAAATCAACGGGAAATTGGGGTACAGTACTTCAAAGGATATTTTGACCCCCTGGAGCTTTTATAAAAAATTTTCTTTTGAGCTCATTTGAAAGCCCATTAAATTTGCTACAAGTTAGTACAGGTCGCATTTATTCCAAAAAATAATTGTTCGAAATACATCCATTTTCACAGGAAAATGGTCAAAAATCATCTAAAATACCCCAAAAATGATAACCTAAGAAATATTCCTGCCTTCAACTTCACGAGTTTTTGTTGGAAGAATAAAAGCCTAGGCTATCTTGTAGTAAATTTTATGGGCTTTTTAATGGGCCCAAAAGAAAATTTTTTTAAACGCTCTAGGGGGTAAAAATATTTTTTAAGTACTGTACCCCCATTTCCTGTTGATTTTTGAGATTCTAGATCTCGATGAAGAAAGTAGGTACAGAATTCATTCTTTTTACTTTTCTATTCAGTAACGATGGAAATGTTCACAGAAATTTTTGTAGAATTTTTGCACCAACTAAAGTAGGGAAATCCAAGGTTATTTAATTTGTCCATAAACATATGACGCGTTAAAAATAGGGGTGGAGAGATTTAGACCGGGTTTTAATTATGCTAATGAAGTTGGATTTAGATGAAACCAAAGTATTATATAGCAAATGAACTGGGCATTTGCACCACCGAATTATATTTTTGATTTATTCTTATTAAGTTTTGTTATGAAGGATTTTATTGGTAAATCGTTGTTGTCCATAAACATATGACCACCACTGTATCTCTCAAAGGAGATAATCAATTTCCAATAACCAAAAAACTAATAATAAATGTAGCGAAAAGATGAGAAAGGAAAAGTAGCTATATAGTAAAGATATATTTATTGATGGTCAAATAAATTCCTCGTTAATCCCTTCCAAAATAAAAATAAATAAAAAATATCCTGTCGCAAAACCACAAAAACAAAATTTTTCTCGTTTCATTTTTCACTTTCTTTTTCCTATGAAAGACTGTCAAATAAATTACAAAAAATATTTTTTATTTAAATTATCCCCAAATTTCTTTAAATTTATTTATTTTATTTTAATTTTAACTTCGTTGTCTAAAGCTGAATTTAGCCCGGATTTTGCCAAGTGGCTTTCGGAGTATTATGGAGAGGATGTTAGGGCACATTTGGAAAGGTCTTTAGATTAATTTATTTCAGAAAATATAGGACAGTTAATCTTGAACTTCAATATACGATCGTATCTCAATAAGGTGTCATTGTCGGGATGAAGTCTATAAAGATATAACTATTGTGCGTTAGGTTATACTCAATGTAGGGGATTCCTGAGGGGATTCCACATAACCGGAGTGACCCTTCCCCAGTGAGGTGGAAGGTTGGGACCACATATACGGAGTGTATAATCCCCGATAAAAGCGTTATAACAAGAGTCTAACTCAAAAATATCTTTTATAGAAAAGACCTAGGTCATGCGGGCTCGTTTGGAGGAAAAAACGAACCGAGCGAACCTATACGTCATCAACCTGTTATTTTTGTGCATGGTTAGTGGAATGATTATGTAAATATTTTATTGTGATTTTCTAAAGGCGTCTCCAATCGAGCATGGGACAAAATGAAAAATGCAGCAGATTATTTCCAGTTTTGATTTTTCCTTGAATTTATCATTGTGAATAATTATAGCCAACAGGGTTATTCTTTTGCGGAGCTTTACGGAACAACTTATGCTAATGGAGATGAAGGAAATCCTTTACAGTAATTTTGAAAAAATAAATTTAAAAAATTATTAATGCAGATGGGCCCAGTATTCAATGAAATGCCAATATGTCAAATTGGTAGGGGAATAAATTTAATAATTTTGGAAATAAATAAAATCTGAGCATAAGTTGAGTTAAAGAGAGCAGCCAGTCAAGCATAAGCCCAGGCATTCCCGGAGCTATAACTTAATGTAAAATTATCATAAAAAGCTAATTTTGGTACCAAAAAATAAAGCTCGAAAAAATACGTCGATGATACCAAAATTATCCAGATCCGACATTTACAAGCTGAGTTATAAGCTTTGAAAGAGACTGAGGTTCGATAAAGAGGTGTTAATGCATCCTCATTTAATTAAAAACAAAAAATAAATAACACCCACAAGCTGGCCTCGTGGTGTAGTTGGTTATCACGTCAGTCTAACACACTGAAGGTCGCCAGTTCGAGTCTGGCCGAGGTCAAATATTTTTTAAAAATTAAATAAACACTTTTTAACTCAATTCAAAGTCTCTAAATATTTTTTTAAATTTATAAAAAAATTTTTTTTAAAAGGTACGCGCCCTAATTGTAGCCATTCGGCTTTATACAGGGAAACAAGGTGTATTTTTAAATTAATTTTTAAAATTTAAAAAATAAAAAAAAGTTGATGTAATTGGTTATTCATTGGGAGTGCTTGTCTCAAGAAAGGCTATTTTAGGAGGTAGATGTGTTGATACTGGAGAGGATTTGGGAGCACCGTGAGTTGCAGAATTCAAAATAAATTTTTTTCAAATTTTCAAAATTTTTCTTCCAAAAAGCCTCACAAAATTTGTCGACACCTATGTCGGTGTTGCCGGCCCCAATCACGGAATATCTCTCCAAGTTGGCTCATTCTCCCTTCCCGGATGTGCCTTGGCTCTATTGCCCATATGTAATGGTCAAACTGGACTTTATTCTTCTGGATTCTGTCCATCTACTGAAAGTGCTTTTCTTCAGGATATAAATAGACAACAAGGATATGAAGGGAAATATCGGTAAATTTTGGAAAAAAAATTTTTTAATAAAATTGAAGTCATTCTTGAAGTGCAAAAAGGTACCTCAAACATTAATCATTCTCTCCCTTTTAATAAATTTATTGAAAGTAAAGAATATTAAGGAGCGAGAAGTGTACTAAGGAGTTTCTGGAACAAGACGAAACCCAATAAAAATATCGTTGAAATCGAAGGACCTATGGTTTTTGGTGACCATATTTTTGAAAACCTCTGATTAGAGTTGACGGATTCTGGAAAATCCATAGATATCCGTATCCAATAATATACTAAGGAGTTTCCATCAAAAAATATCGCTAAAATCGGGACCTATGGTTTTTGGTGACCATATTTTTGAAAACCTCTGATTAGAGTTGACGGATTCTGGAAAATCCATAGATATCCGTATCCAATATCTGAACCGAAAATTCCCTGATCCGACATCCATCATTATCCGTCAATCCTCCCTCAAATCTAGAGGCTCTTATGCCAAAGTTTAGAGAATTTTTTTTCAGCTTTTCTCTATACAGTCAAAGAGATCAAATTATTGGTTATACAGTTTGTAACAAGGCAAGCAGAATTAATTTTTAAAAAATTTTAATTAAAAGAATATTAAAGATAACAAGCCAAATCCCTTCACAAAATGCAGAAAAAGTTTATCCTAGTGCTAATCATGACGAGACATTTTTAAACTCTTTTCAAGTTCAAATGGAAATGGTTGCTAATCATATTGTGATATAAATATCTATTAGTAGTTTAATACCTACTATTAATACTAGATTAGGTAGTTAGAAATATTTTATACAATAATATACAGTATAGTTAAACAATTAATTTATAAAAATTTTAAATATATCTATAACGAAAAGTAAATGTTTGAGTGCCTTTCCTAGTGTACAAACTCAGAACAACCAAATTAGTTTCTGATAAAAGCTTCAATCCGTTTGGAGGTATATCTGACTGGCAGCACATTCTAAACAGGAATTTTTATAATAAATTCGGACCTCCCTATGAGATACCCCTTAGGGCTAGAACATTGTAGCTTATAATGGAATGTCTATTAAACAGAAGGTATCATTTAGACAGCACTCCCCACCCATTGCCTAACCAAATTTTGGCAATGTAGAGGTATATCCATTATCTTATAACGAGGTCCGACTTTATCCCTCGAGACAATCATTTCCTTACCTTATCCCTGTCCTCGTAAAATCAGCACGCAATTTAAACTCAACATTCCCATAAAAACAAGCTTCGTGGCAACTTGTTTGAGAGCCTAGCCTGACTACTTCCAATTCTATTAATTTTCCTTGGGGTGCTTGTAAATGCCAATGACAAGAACTAAATTCTCTCGATGTAAAATCATCATTGCCTATCGTGCCAGTTAATTCGTTTTGTTCTGAAGATGTCTTAAAAATTAAGGAAATTTTTTTAAATTTTTTAATATGTAGATGGATAAAGGAAGGCCAAGCTTTTCTCTTTTTAAACGAAGCTTTAGCCAACTCTCGTTATAGTGAGACACTCAAGAGCACGTTTCATATGATAACGTGTTAATATAAACAACGGGAACGGGTCAGCGAATTTTCAAGTAGGAATTCACTGATGTATGGGGCGTTTTATGGCTCCGGCATTGTATAATCTTAGCTCAGGCCGAAGTCGGCTTTTCATAGCTCCCGGAACCATGCCCTACACTGGCGTCACTTGCCTATACCCGTCCATGCCCTACACCCCTATTATTTTCACGTAATTTTTAGATAAAAATGTCCCTTCCCCTCCCTTATTAATTTAACTCTCGATTCTCTTATTCACGCCTAACTATAATAAATATTGTTTTTTATTATTTATTTTTAATAAAAAACTAATAAATCCACACGTTTCTAAATAAACATCCCCATTCCAATTTTCACTTTCACACAAGCCCCAGTCAATATTCTCTCTGTTAAAGCTAGCTAGACAAGCTAAAGCTACTTCAAAAAAGCTTATACACACTCTCTACTTGCTTAGGCATTTTTTAATTTTTTTCTGCTTTTCTCTTCTCCCCCAGCTGGCATGCCAATTTGCGAAATGGCCAAAGGGAACACTCCTATTTACAAATGGAATGCACCAGAGCAGAAATAAACCACACGGAAATCTGTCATTATTCTTATAAGGCTTTAAAAAATATTTTTTGTCCATTTTTTGCCTATTTAAAATCTATTAAAATGACTGTGGATGTTCAACAAGCTGCTACTAGCTGTGTTGGGAAGCAACAAAATTCGAAGAATACTTCAAAAACGTTTCAGTTAACAATCTCTTTAAAGTATGTTGTTACTTTTAAAAGTAAAAGGTTACAACCAGATCTGTTACCTCAGTCAGACCTCTGACTCTCCCTCTGACTCTCTCACTGACACCTTTTGAGAGATCTCTCCCTATCTTATTTACAGCCAAGAGCCTACTTTATGGAGCGGCATTTGAAGTCAATCTCACTTCGAGGAATAGACTCTTAAACCTCTACGTTTTTTAAGATTAGAGGACACTGAATGCCTAGTAGCTTCCAGTGCCTTGAGCCTATCTTCGAACTCCTTTCGGACCCATACTTAAGAAATAACCCATTAACTAAAGATAATATGCTAGTTTCCAAGTCTAAAAAACCCTCAATTTTCAATTTTCTGAATACAAACATTGTAAAAGATACAAATAAATAAGTTTAGAAATGTAGAAGATGGTGCAAATAATGTTACGTTCAAACAGGATGGTTCGAGATTCCCAACCTCACAAAGAACAATAAAGCTTATAACAAATTCTAAATACCAGATTGTTTTAAGCAGCAAACCTGCTCAGGAATTTACGTAAGTCTATTTTAAAGTTGGAGTTATCACATGCTAAGAAATATTTGGAAATCTAGAATAGATAGATTAACTTCCTTCGGATAGGGTTTGTTCCATGTCCACGCCCAATGGATGGAAATGAGCCTATTTTCGAACTTCTTTCGGATGTTCGGGATGTTCGAAACCCCATAAACTAACCCTATATTGCTCCCTGACCCGCTGGCCAATACTTTTCGGAGAACGGGGATGCCGGCTAATAAACAAATCCCTGGATTAGGGTCGAGGAATTGCCTAAAACTAATCGTCAGACGGGGAGTCGGGAACCAATATTCTTATATCTTTATCAACTTTTGAAATATTGTTTAGAAGCCTACACCTAGCTGGGAGTGATTTGGATCTCATTCCAGAAAAGGGACAAGGCATTGGAAGCTACTCAGCAATTTGGGACACCGCGGGGATTGAACCTACACGGAGAGGGGGAAGACAAGATATTTTATTTGTTCTAGAGGTTTTTCTAGGCATTCAAAAATCCAAAAATAAAATTTAAGGGTCAAAACCAAACCCTTACACAAAAATTACAGACAAAATTTTATGGAAAACAGGATTCTCATGGAATAATAGGGCATAGATTGGAGGTATTGAATTAATTAAATTTTTTAAAAATAATTTTTTAGGCATTGGTTTGGAATTGTGAAATAAATTTAAATGGCCAAATTAACGTAAATGATGAAAAAATACTCTGATTATTTTTATAAATTTTTATTTTTTAATTTTGTATTTAGCTAGTTTTTTATTAATATCGGTTTATTTAAAGGCGCTAGAACACGAGATATTATTTAAAATTTTGGCAATGACCTTGGTCGGATATTGTGCCTGATGGACCTGAGTTTGTGCCTCAAATCAAGAAATTCTTGGCCCAGGAAAACGCCAAGCAGAAAGTTAAAAAGCATGCCAGTTCTGGGCTTTGGGTGCAGAATAAATCTAGGTACACTCCAGCGACTTCTGGCTGACTGAGACCAAGAGAGAATTCCAAGACCCAATTTGGTAAAAAAATCTTTTAAAAACATCCCCACCTTTATTGTCTCTCCACAATTAGAGTCAATCCCAACACTTGACTCTCTCTCATCGCAAAGTTTGCCTCCGAAACCCCAAGGGCATATACACTGACTACAGTCTTTCGGCTTTGGAAATCCTCCATTTTTGCATTCTACACCTCTACTTTTGCATTCATCTCGAATTTTAAATTGATTTAATTAATAATTAGTTACTAGCGTTTTTTAATTTTTTTTAAATTTAAAATTAAATTTTCAAACAACCCAAACACATGTAGCGCTTATTCATCAGTAGCACGTCTAAAAAGCTGGGAGCAATCCTCTGACCCATAGTTTTTTGATTGTAAGGCTCTTTTGCTGATAACACAGGGTTATGGGCATCGGGGGAGGAAAAAGCATCTAAAGAGTCAAAGTTGACATTTCGACATTTTAGTGATTTTGACAGTCAACTCACATTCTGAGTAGTGCATTACTGAACCCAAATCGTAAGGTACTTGTTGATTGTCATTTTCTTCCTCAGATTCCTTTGAGAAAAAAGAGAGTTAGGCATATTAAATAAAAGGGTTACTGTAATTACTCATTTAATCACAGCCTTAAATTAAATATTAAATTAAGTAGAGGTTTGGAACTGATTGATCAACAAACATTTTTTGAGAAAAAAATTTTTGAGCAGATTAGAAAAAGTCAGGATATCTTGGATTTTCGTTCCGATCCGGAAGAGGATTTCACAGACTATCCTATTGAAATGAACAAATGGCTGTTTTTGGGTTAATTAACATCTCTTGTTAAATTCTCCTGTTATGTAACATGAACTAGCAACCCTTGAAATAGGGTGAAAAAAATCGCCGGAAATCCGAAACCGGTGTCCTCGGTTCTTCGGTTGTTCCGAACTGATAACCCTATATAGGAAAACTATAAACAAAACATAAAATATTTCCTTCACCTTATCAAACTGATCCTCGTATCCATGTCTTATATTATCAAGACTAACGCTAACAAACTGGTCTCTATCCCAACGTGATTGCTCATGAAAGAACCCAAGAGCATGTGCAACTTCGTGTGTAATAATGCCAAACTGGAAGTGAAAAGTGTCTCGATTTTCTATCAAAACTTTTTAAAATACTTGATCACAATCCTCTCCAATAGAGACATACTGATCCCCCTCTTGTTTACCAACATAGCTAGAACATCCATTGCCTTTTCCAAATTGTAATCTAGTGTCTGATGGATTGCTAGATTAAATTTTTTGTTTAGTTTAGGAGTTGAGGATAAATGGGAGGATACATGGGGGAGATAAATGGGATCATAGGAGGATAAATAGGGTTATTTTGTGAAGAACCATCCAATACAGCATTAAATGAAAATGAGATTAAACTGGTGGTAGGCCAGTAATTGCTATCACGATCTAGATTGGTATAGGAATTTTACCATTCTTTAATATTTACATACAGACTAGGGATCAGGTATAAACAAATTGGGTATACAAATTCAGAAGATTCCAAATTTTACCAAACGATACAACGCCCAAATAGTCACTAATATGTATACTACCCAAACCCTTCACTACCTTTGAAAAAGCTCTTCCTCACGAAAATTTAGACAGGTCTGATCAGCCCAAAAACTGAGTGCTTGTCGAATCCTTGTGCGCCTTTCCTCAGCTAAAATTTTAAGGATTTAAAATTTTCAAATTTTTTTTATAACAAATAGAATTTCCAAAAGTGTAGGGGACTGTCCGATTTAGCCATAGAGAAGTTGGAAAAGTTACAGAATTAATTGCTTGTCGTCTATTCCTTTTAAGTGATGGAGTAATTTTAAATTTTGAGAATAAAAATTCTGCTTGTTTAAGGTTGAGAATTATATCTCCCTGATAAAAATTGTGGCCAAGTCCTCTGTTGATTTTTGCTATAGTTGGGGGATTCTCTTCTTTATTAATTATTTCATTAATTTTATTATTAGCATCTTTTTGTAAAAATTTAAATTTTTTATCTTTAATTCTGAACATATTATGGTAAATTATTTGTTGTCGAAAATCTTTTAAAATTTGTGAGATCCGTTCAGCGTTGTCTAGCTTAAAAAGGATTATCTCATTTAAGTATTATAGAGCTTGGAGAAGTCCGATTGAACCCCTATCGAAGTAAATTTCAAAAACACGTCTCAGACTAGACCCAAATTTCTTAACCAGCTTCTATTGAGTAGAATGTCCTATAGTATTCTTAAGACCATAATATCCAAAAAATCACTCTATTCATTCAGGGGGTAAAGCAGGGATGTGTCTAGAGTAGGTGGACCCGGATATCTGGATCCGAAAAGACCAATATCTTTTGGTTTGGATATTAGATCGGGGTATGATATCAGGATTCGAAGAGGTATTTTAGGTCCCCTTGGCTGTTCCTCCCATCTATATGAATGACAATGTCTGAGAATACTGAATAATTACCTAAGCTACTTTAACGCTCCTTCTATCTAATAGCAGTTATAGCTACCTTACCAAGGTAGATACGAGAATAATTTAATTAATCCCTTAAAATTACCTTAATTTCTCTTTTTAGAGGTATTGAAGTTATCCTTTCAATAAACCACATAAATAAAATGTATAAAAATATTTTAAAAATTAACATTTATTTATAAAAAATTATTATTTACAGAGGTAAATATTACCCAAAAATATGCTTACTTTTAAAGCCAAAAACAAACACAAAAAAAATTCCAAGGTGTTCGTACCCTTATTTTTCGATAACAATAGATAACAATTCATCCAATTTTTATTAAAATTTTTTTCCTTTGCTAAAGCTATTTTTGCTTTTATTTTATTAATTTTTAGGCATAACACACCCTTCTAGTTGACATTATTTTGGGGCCAAATAAAAATTTTTTATGAGATTTTTATATTTTTTCTATATGTTTGCTTGTCTTGAACGTCAATTTTTATTGCAAGACGTTTAAAAAATAGTTCCTTTTATAGATCAGAAGAATAAAAAAGAGAAATAAATTTTATTGAAAAAGTTGAATAATGTATAGTGAAAAATATCCAGAAATTTTAAAAAATTTCAAAAAATTTTTAATTTTTTAAATTATTAAAATTACCGTAATCTCTCTTTTTATGTAGAGGTATTGAAGCTCTCCTTTCTAAGGTTGGCGGTTCTGGGTATCCGGAACCGAAAAAACCTCGGATATCTTCGGATACCGGTTCTGGTTCCGGACATCCGAAGATTTCCTAGGAACCGCCATCCTTACTCTTATAATTATTTTCCTATTTTTTTTTGATTTTTTAAAATTTTCCTTAAATTTTTAACGTTTTTTAAATTTTTCATATTTAAAAATTTTCCAAATTTTTAGAAAATTTCTCAAAAATTTTTTATTTACCCTATCCTTCATTAAATGTTCACAATCACCTTCCACACCTTTTTTAATTTTTTTTCTAAATTTTTTAAATTTTTTCCCTTTAATTTTAAATTCACTCTCAAGAACAAAAAGAAAAACCTGTTTTTCTCTTTAAAACCTTCCCTCTATTGTTTAACAATTCTTTTTCCTCTCCCAATTTAGAAATTTTAAATGAATTAAAACGTGTAAATTTTTTGATGTTTACCTCTTTCCATTCTCTTTTTTTTCGTTCTCGATTAAAAAAAATTTTTTTTTAATTTTAAATTTGTCATTCTTAAGACCAAAAAATATATGTATTGAATTTTTAATTTTTTCTATTTTAAAACTTATTTTAATTAAATTGAATTTTTTATAAAAATTCTTTTTTTATAAATTTAACGAGGGAATGATGTTAATGATAATTTAAATTAAAAATTCTTAAAAAATTTAAAAGATAATTTAAAAAATTTTTTTTGCCCAGAATTACCTTAAAAATTAAGAACTATGTATTAATTAAAGACCGGATTGGGAGTGTTGTATGAGACCCGAGATCAGGTTCTCGAAAAATTCTCGTTCTCGATAACCGAGATTTTCGATCGGGATCTTGTCTTGGTCTGGTCTCTAGTATTAATCTTATAAAATATATATGAACAGTTGATGTCTCTCTTGGTACTCCTAAGTGATCTGACTTTATTGTCCTTTTAATTAGAAATCTGATCGAGACTAGATCACATCTAGAAATCTCCTATTACCCTATTAACAATCTTGAATGTCCAACATCCACACGATCGTTTCTAATTTTAACGGAATTTTCTCAAGATTTATATAGTGAATAGATTTCCTATTCCTAGGCACGAAGTCTTTTCATTAATTAATTTTCCATTTTAAAATCATTAATTAATTATTCACCATTTAATTTAATAAATCATAATTTGTTTTTAGTAACAAAAAATCAGAAAAATGAACATTCATGATTACAATTCCCGAGTAGATTACATAAACAATGCAAGTCGCCAATTAGAAAAGAAATTGTGTGAGGAAAGCATTAAGCTTCACAAAGGACTACAAGACGATATTTATGGCAAAAAATCCTATAATAGTTACACTACGAGAAGTGAATCGGTAAACAAAAAAATTTTTTTTTTAAAAATTGAAAAAGGTTTCTGATTAGAAATCGAAATGGGAGCGTTGTACGGGAATCGAGATCTCGAAAAATTCTCATCTCCATAACTGAGATTTTTGAAGACCGTCTCTTAGAGAACTAGAGATCGTCTCGGTCCGGCTATAGTTCTGATGTTAATTAAAATATAACTCTTAGTATATGATACATCCAAAATAGAAAAGGAAAAACGGAAGTGGAATAGATTCCATCCCTGATGGGAGAGATTCACAGGATTAAGAAGCCCTCTAAGCGTCACATCCTATTTAAGATACCTCACGTTATAAGATAAATTCTGGCCTCAATAGTGTACTTTATAATGTGGTTTGTAAATCCTAAAGGGTCTATGAATCTTCTATAAACTTTAAAATTAAAATTTATTCTTCAATATCCATTAATATCTTCAGGCATATTCACCAAAACACACACCTAATCGCTACTACGAAATCCACAGCAAAGAGGATCCTTACAAGCCTGTCAATTTTTGGACTCCGGCACTTAAACTTGTCAATTTTGAAGGTTCTTTCGATTAAAAAATTTTTAAAGAAAAATTTTCTCAAAATTAAAGGGCCAACAACTCGTTCAATACCTTTAGACGACGGTAAAATCGGAGGTTCAATAACTACGTGGCAGTGGACAAAGGCTAGTGAACGCCATTTTTAGAGGAAACATTGAAAGGATGAAAATTAAAACAACGAGAAAATTAAAAAATTTAAAAGGATCTTCTAAATATTATTTTTGATAAAATAAATAAATAAATATGTAATATTTTTAAAAAAATATTTAGAATAAAAATATCGAAAATAAAAATGACGTGTTTTCCATTTTTGATTTCCTTCATTAAAAACAACAAAGAATAGCGGTAACTATTTTTATGTCATCATAATTTGTGAAAATTTCCTTTAAATCATAAGAAAATTTTCAACTTTTTCGGACAACTTTGTTAAAACATTTTTCTCCAATCATTACCTTCTATCCCCTTTTTACTGCTTCTTCCTCTCTCTTGTTTTCAACAACAAACAAAACATTCCCTATTGTTCATGTTTGTTTCCCTCCTTTTTCTTTTCCTATTTTGCTTCCCCTTGTCTCGAGTTTAACAAAACAAACAAACAAACAAGGAAGCAAAATTTTAAAGCTTATCATATAAATATTTGTTTAAATTTACCTAAATTTAAAATAATTCTTGTCAATTACATGCCCAATATATTCCTTAATTTCATTTAAGAAAATTATGAAGCTTAATTGTTTGGTAAGAAGATTTTTACATTATATTAAAGCCCGTATTAGAGGCCCCTATTTGAGCCCCTCTCCCTTTAATAAGCCCCTCTGGGTCTATAAAATATGGCTAGCCACTTGGGGAAGGCCAGCTAGATTTTTAGGAGGATGGCTAGCCACCTCTTTTTAATACAACACCTCAGTCTCCTTTATTTAAAATCTAAATTTATTTTTTTTAGATTTGTTATTTCTTGATAGCCCTAATTTTGTTTCAATTACTCCCAACTTTGTTTGCCCAACAAAAACGCTGCCTTAAAGTAAAGCTTCCCGACGTTTGTGAAAATTCCTGTCCGGTACTTTAATTAATTTAAAAATAAATTTGATATTTTTTTAGTATCCAACAAAATGAAGTTTTCTATTTTGGCCGTCTACAAAAATTAATTTAAATTCCTTTTAAAATTAATTAATAAAAAAATTCTTTTTTTTATAAATTTTTTATTAAATTAATTAAAATATTTTTACAATAAATTTTTTGTTTGTAAAGTAATTTTTTAAATTGAAAATGAAGCTTTGATAAAATAAATATTAAATCTTGCGGATAAATAAAGCTGATAAAAAATAAAAAAAGAGAGAGATTTTATTAATGAGAGAATTTACGGTTATTGTTAAAGGGACTAATTAAGGTGTTTAGAAACATTAAAAAAAATAAATATACAGTCAAACATCATTATAACATACCCCTAGGATTAGAAGCTTTCATTACAAGAGATTTTTAAAATTTGGTTAGCCATTTTTGGTTAGCCAAATAAGTAGAGACAAGTCTAAACGATATCCCCATATTTAGGCTACACCTCACCACACGGAGTTAATTTTAAATTCAATCCCAAAGAAATATATTATGGCGATGTTCGAGAAAAATCCTTTAAAAAAATTTAAAATTCCAATTTACAGACATCCAAACATTCCTCTACCGAACCAAACCGATTTTGATTACCTCCACATTCTTGGGTACTAAAAGCATAACATTGTGCAGTAACACTATCAAAATAAAATTTTGTAATTAATTTGGTTTCATCCAAAATATTTTCTTCATTTTCTACAGAAGTTTCCCATTTTTTCGATTTTTCTTCTTCAGAGAATTTATTAAATTGCTCGTTTATATTGTTTTCTAAGCCTGTCTCGACAGGTGATTTTTGTTGTAATTCGATGGTTGAACACAGACCTGATTCTAAAAAAAATATTTTTAATAAAGGATATAAAATCTACTAATTTCGCTAGTACGTCGCCCTCTGACAAAATTTCGTAGCTGATTTAATAAATGATAATAATCCCGATCCCGACTGCGGGATCGGGATCAGCAGAATCGGGATCTAGTGAGAAATGAGGGAGCTTCTTACGAAATTCAAAACGTAGTAACTTAAAGATCAGGTAAACAAGGGCTGTTTACAGGATAGAATTCTTTAAAAGATAAGCTATTATCGGACTTTCCATTATCCTCTTGTTCAGTATTTTTTCAAAATTCTAATTAACCAAATAAAATACCTGGAGGTAAATAGCATAATCCGGGATAATGAGGAACTCTTTCAAAAATGGGAGGGGCTGGTAATGAAGCAACTATAGAACATATTGTTGATATGATTACAATTAACGAGATTCTGATTCTTAAAGGCATTTCTGCTCTTAGTTCAGAGTTAAAGAAATTTTGTTGGAAAAAGAGAGAAAATTTATTTTTGTGGAAAGCTTACAAAAATTTTTTTGATTTTATACGTAGCAAAACCAGATCCACAAGCAGATTTATTTTATTTTTAATTCTACCGGTTGACTGGAGATTTTGAATAAAAATTGTAAAAGAAGAGAAGCTTTAAGAGAAAATTGAGGGAGAATGGGGGGAAAATGAATGAGGGGAAATTCAATGGAAAAATAAAATAAAGAAGCAGTTCCGGGGTTTTGTGGGGTTCTTCTCCTGCTTTTCCTTTTCCTCCTCTCCCTCCTTTTTATTTCACGCAATCTGCAATTTTTTTTGACTTTTAATGCATCTATATGAGCGTGTAAGGGTCTTCCCCTTCCTCAAGCATTTGCTCGTTTCCGGATTTGGTGAACAACTTTTTTGGGAGGAAATAAATTGAATGTTGAATTGGAAGGCTGGAAATAAGGGAAAATAAGGGAAAAGAGGAAATTGCACGCGTTCTGAATTAAATTGAAGCAAAAAAAGAGAAAAAATCAGCAAAAGTGGAGTCGAAATAAAAAATATTGTTTTATATTCATAATTGAAGTGAAAATAAAAGAGAAAATTTGTGTCAGTTTATTTTGAATTTTTTGGTTAAAAATTTAATTTTGAGTGAAAAAATCAAGTGGAATATTGAAAATCAAGAGGAACGTTGATTTTATAATTTCTGAATGAAATTGAGTGTTAAAAAAGTTAAAACAAAATTATCTTTAAAGAGTAGTATAAAATAAATTTTGATAAATCCATATAAGTATATCTGGAAATAAATATCTCCCATTACTTGGAACCTAGCATGGATGTTGCTTCTTTCATTCTCTTCCCCGTTAAAGTTTCATTTCGCTTCTTCCATCTTCATTTTTTTTAAAAATCAGTATTTACAACCTCCTTGAAATCAATGCTTATTATAAACAGGCTGATCTTTACAAATCACCAAAAAGAGGCATGGCCTCTCAGAAAAGGGGCAAAAAAATAGAACGAAATCGATCATAAATAGGCAAAATGATCACCCTTATTATAAGTGATCCTGTAAGCTTTGCAATTTTTGCTTGTTATCTTTTTAATCATTACATCACAGACTGATCGTCTTAAAATTGGAAAAAAATACTCTCATTTAAAACTTGCCTAAATCGATGTTACTTAAACCAAGTCTATGGCATTAAAAATATTTCAAAAAAATTTTTTAAATTATTTAATGTTTAACATTTTTTAATTTAATAAATAGAAATTTAAAAAAAAATTTTTTTTTAAGTCAAAATCGATTTATTTTATTGTTAAGCATTACTTGGCCATAAAATACAGCAATGTTTATTCATATGAATTTATTCCCATTCATCTACCCCCTATCACTCAACGCCAGCAGAACGTCGATTGACTGTCTAACAAAATATTTACCATTCATCTCGATTTTTTCAAAGCTTTTATTGTACAAATTTAACGTCCAAAAACAATCATTAAATTTATTAAAATATCAAATCACGGTATAATAAACATTTTAAGACAGAAAGGGCGCTTGTTTAAATTCTTTGAAAAATAAATAGAAATTTTTAAATTTTGTATGTGTTAATACTCTAGCATGTTTTAAATATATGAAGTCTGTCAAGACAGATTTTAGCTCCAGATCGTCCTAGCTTGAAGCCTCTTTTACCAGCTTCAAGGTAAAGAACCCTGAAATTAGTGAGTCATGTCTGAAGGTGTAAATAAAATAAATAGAAATCAGTCCAAAAATCATTTTTAAACATTTTTAAAAATTTTTGTAAAAATAAAGAAATATTTACACCCCTAAAAAGAATAAATTTTATGCTTTGTTATGGCAACGTTTCTTTAATATTTTATTTAAAATGCTTAAAATTAATGTAAATTAATTTTATAAAACATTTAAATTTTTCACACAGCTTTTATCATGACACGTGAATTTTATTTTTAGAAATCTCTTTTAAATTGATTTTATTAATTTTCTCAATTTTATTTAAAATTCTCAATTTTAATGTTTGTTTAGTTTTTTGCTTTATTTTAAATTATTTAAAATTAATAAAAATTAAGCATTTTAAGTTACTCAAGTTTGTAATCTAGTCAAGTTTTTAATTTATTCCAGCTTTAAATAAATTTATAGTTTTAATAAATTTAAGTTTGCGAAATTAAAATTAAAGTTTTAATTTATTCAAGTTTGTATTTTATTAAAGTTAAGTTTAATTTTAAATTATTTAAGTTTGCAATTTCTTCAAGTTTTAATTTTTCATGTTTTAATAAATTCAAGTTTGTTTATACAAGCTTGAATTTATTGCTTATATTTTTTAAGTTTTCAAGTTTTAAATTTAGGTTTGTAATTTACTCAAGTTTGTATTTCAGTAAAGTTTAAATTCAAGTTTTAAGTTTTTAAGTTTGTAATCTTTCAAGTTTAAATCTTCAAGTTTTAGTAAATTCAAGTTTGCATAATTTAAGTTAAAATGTGCAATTTATTTCAAGTTTGTAATTCATTTAATTTTAAATCTTAAATTTAAGTCTGATCTCAAATTACTCTAATATATACAAATTTTTAATTATTCCTCTAGTGAATATTTTTTTGATCATTTCCAATTTAAAACTTCTATTCAATTTTAAAAAATATTTTAATTATTAAAAATTTAATATTATAATCCCTTCATTATTCTTTGTTGCGAATTTTATCACATTTCTGTTAATCCTTTTTCAAATAAAAAATAATCAAATAGAAAAAAAATTATTTTAAAAACAAAATTCGCTAAAAAATTTTTTTGAGTAACCCCAGAATCTGCTCTCTACCTTCCCTAATTTTATATTTTTTAATTACGCAAAACTTTCTAAAATTTTTACATAATGCCATAAATATTAAATAAATAAATTTTAAATTATTTATTGCCATTTTACTTACCTAATTTTTAATCTTTACTTCTTATTTATAAAGTTGTAGCATTAAAAAATACGTGCCGTTTATTACCTCTTATACATATTAACCTCTATTTACCTTTAAGCTTAATTAATTTAAATTAATTTTTACTCATTTGGTTTGGTAATATTTTTCAAAAATATTTAAATATTTTGATTATTCTTTTATTGATTTTTTTAATATTTTTAAACAATATTATTGCTCTTTATTTTCCCCAAAATTCCTTTAACTAATTTTTGTATTAGCAAACAAAAGTTGTATGTAAAATTTTTGCCTTGTTTCTCTCTGTTTACTTTAATCTTTTTATTTTAACTGAAAATTAAAAAAAATTTTTTCAATTTCTTTGCTTCACTTATCGATAATTTTGTTTGATTTTTATTTTAATAATAATTTTTATTAGGTTCAAAAAATGTCGACTTGGCAAAAGTATCGAAAGTCTCCAAGATTTCCTTCTTTTCTTATTTCCTTCTTACTGCTTGTTGCTTTGTTGTTTATGGTGTGAATTTTTAATTTTTATTGGGGTTGCCGTTTTCGAGTCGGGCCGACAGTCGAGGAATTTTTTCGGGCTTGTTTTTACCGATCGGGCTTGTACGAGTCGGGCCTATTTTTCTTAATTTTTATATTTAACCTGTCAAAATTCTCAATTATTTTCCGTTTGGTTTTCTTCACAGCCTATAATTCTGGTCGTCTAATGTTAATAAAATAATTTAAATATTTAGGTATCATCACTTCTTTGGTATGGCACACCTTACAGCTTTTATGACCGAAGGGTAGTTTCCTACCATCGTATGCCTGATTATCGCAATTTGCCTGCGGAACGTTATTTGGAAATTGCACCTAATGTGGAAAAATCAGAAAATTATTTGAATGAAAGGAGCTTGCGTTTAGGGTGCTTGATTTTAATAAAGTCAAGATTAATCTTAAAAATTTCAGAAATATGGTAAATACAAGTTTTGCAAAATTTGTGAAGGGGATTCCAGCAAAGGATGGCAATTGGTGTGAACGAATGGGTAATGGCAAACTTGACAGTGAAGAACATAAAAAATTGGAAGGATGGGCTTTTGCTAACGAAGACAAAACTTTCTCTACAGAGGAGTCAATAAAACCTGGGGAGACTGTCAATAAACAGTGAGTAGAAATTTTAGTTGATATTTTTTAACTAACCAATCTACCTTCAATCTTGATTCATTTTCAAGTTTATTTATAAGAAAGTACAGACTTAATAATATTTATAAGTTTATACTAAAGCATAAAGTTGATATTTTCAAGTTTATGCTTGAAATTACAAACTTGATTTATTTTTAAGTTTATTTATTAGAATTAAAACTCGCCCTCTTAAGTTTACCCTTAGGAAAACTTGAGTTCTCAAGTTTATTTTCAAGTTTATTTTTTGAGATTACAAACTTAACTTCTCAAGTTTATCCTTAGAAAATTACAAACTTAAATTTTCAAGTTTGATCATTTATTTTACAGATGTATTCGACTTAAGGAAAAATTTCCTTTTATTGATGAACCTCTTTCAGAAGAAGAAAGGGAATTTCCTCTTGCCTATGGCATGCTAGTGTATAAATCAGCTTTCCAAGTTTACATGATGATGAGTGCTATTTATCAAGTATGCACTTAGAATCTTAACTTAAGCTTACTCTTAATTTTCAGCCTCAAAATATTTATTGTATTTTGGTTGACGAAAAATCAAGTAAAGAATTTAAAGATTCAATGCTGTTACTTACTGACTGTTTTCCGAATATTTTTGTTATGGTTGGAATTTGATTATAAAATTTTTTAACCCTTTTTAAAGGCAAGTGTTGGCCCTGTTGGTTGGTGTGACTTTGGAATAACTCGTTCACTTTTCAATTGTCTTCGTTATTTGACTGAGAGGAAACACGACTGGAAATATTTCCAAGTGAAAAAATTTTTTTAATATTCGCTTATCTATTAACGTTTTTAGTATCTGAGTGGATTTGATTTGCCCTTGAAAACAAATCTGGAGGTACATATCTCTATCAATTTTTATTTTTTTAAAATCTGTATTTTTAACAGATGGTTCGAATTTTTAAGCAGCTTCATGGATCTATCAATACCGAAGTTTCTGTGTATCAGACTGGCAGGCTTGATCAAGAACTTAAAGTAAGATACAAAAATGAAGTGAACAATAAATATTAATCATTTATAGAATATCAAGCCTCCATTAACTTTATGGAAGTCAAGTATGTCTTCTTTGGTTCCACGTGAAGCAGCTAATGTCTTGATGGCCAGTCCTAAAGTACATGAATTGATGAGATTCTTGCAGCACTCAGACTGTTCTGATGAGGCTGTTTGGACCACGATTACTGGAAATCCACAAGGTGTTGAAAATACATGTTAAAATTTAAAACGAACCCAAAATTCAGAATTAAAGATTCCGGGAGGATTTAACGCTGCTGCTTTCCATTTTGAGAGAATGGAGTGTCTTAAACATAAAAAAGGAAATATTACAGCAATCATTGAACAGGAAGTGAAAGCAATGGCTGAAAGACATCCAAATGAGCCTTTCCTCCCTGACAATTATTATATCTCTCGTTATCAAGTTTGGGGTACATCTACTTTACATAAATGTTATTGTAGGTTTTAGAGTTTATGTAAACTTAAGTTTAAAAATAAATGATATCTATAAGCTTATCTATAAACTTAAGTTTAAGCTAAAACATTAGACAAAATTTGCAAACTTAAATGAACTTGAAAAGCAATATTTACCAGCATTTTAAGATTAAACTTAAAAAATACAACAAAGCTTTAAAAATAAACTTGAAAAGAAAGTTTGTAAATTTAAGTTTAAGCTCAAACTTTGAAACAGAATTTGCGAACTTAAGTTAAACCTTAAAACAACTTTTTAAATTATGTTTAAGTTTAAACTTAAGAAAATCAAACTTGTTTTAAAACTAAACTTGAAAAGAGTATCGCACACTTAAGTTTAGGTTCAAGCTTAAAACAAATGTTTCAAACTTGGATTAAATCAAACTTGAAAAAAACATTTACAAACTTTTTTAAGATCAAACTTAAAAATCAAAGTTTTAAAAATAAACCTAAAAAGAAAGTTTACAAACTTAAAAACTTTATTTTTAGCAAAAAACTTTGCTAGTGCTTCATGTGTTTTTGGGATTAATGATATTCCTTATATGCTTAAACGACCAGAACTTTTACAACACAAAATGTATTTGAGTTTTCAACCTGCAGGTTGTTAGAATTAATTATTTTTAAAAATTAATTTAAATTATTTTAAGCCTATTTTTGCCTTTGGAAAACAATACATGAGAGAGCACTTGATTGGCGTAATCAAAAAGAATTTAAGGCTACCGCCTACTCTGAACTTCCAACAGTTAAACATGTTAGGGAGGGGAATGAACACTTTTATGACGATAAGTGCCTTTTATCTTTATGGTGATTTGACTAATTTAAATTTTATTTTTTTTATTACTCTTATATATTGACAATCACTTAAAATACTGTTTCTTCCTCAATTTTTCTATTTCAAAAATTCTATTGTTAATGCTTTAACCGAAATTTTTTTGGCCTCATAAGCGGCTTTTTTATTAACTATAATTCTCCAAAAAATGGAATTCTTTATTCGTTTACAGCATTTACAATATTAATTTCAAAAGAATTTTTAAATTACGGGATTTATATTAAAAAACTCTATTTTTGACCTCTGTGATATCACTCTGTTTTTCACGTGTATCACTTAATATATTAATTAATTAATAGCTTTAATTATAAAATTTTTAATTTATTAAATAAATAATTTGTTATATAAAATGAATTTTTTATTAATTCGATATGAATTAGAGGTCGGCGCGGGACGGGTCCCGATGGGATTTTCCGGGATCCCGAATCCCGGATTTTTTGATTTTTGGGATTTATTTTTCGGGATCTCGTCCCTGCATCGTTTAGGAAATAGATCCCGACTCGGGATCCCGGAAATGCGATTTTGCCGACATCTAATATGAATAAGCCAGTTGATTGGGAATAGGAGATTTAGATTCAATTTGAAAAAAAAAATTAAATTAATATGTACAAATGTTTTAAAAACTATCGGGCATTTCCGATTTTGGAATCGGGAATCGTGAAAGCAGTCAGTATCACTCCTGATCAGGTATATCTGAGGCTGTGATTAAGATTGATTTGGAGAGATATCGAGTGATTTGGAGGTTTATCTGGGATATCAACTGATTCTGAGGGTAGATATCAAGAGATTTCAATTAATTATAGCTATAATTATAAATAAACATGTTGACTTATCATACAAGAGTCTTTCGAACGTACTTCATTTGCATCTCACATTTTATAGTTTCATTTTATATTTTCTTGAAAAAAAAGAATTTCTGATTTTCGTGAATCAAGCAAGAATCGGTAAAACAGTCAGTATTTTTCCTGAACAGGGATGCACTTAATTGCAAATTGCGTTTGCGATTTAAAAATTAAAACGGAAATTCCTTTATTCCCGATTACGGGGATCGGGTCGGCTAAATAACTTTTTCTATTATAAATAGATTTTTTACGTTTATTTACTTTTAATGTTAAAATAGAAGAATTTAATTTTAAATTCTGAAAAAAAGAATAAATTTCATTTAAAAAATTTTTTCTTTTGGGATTTTTTAATTGTAAATACACTGCGTGATTAGATTTAATTTTTATTTAATTTTCAAAAAAGTGTGTGAAAAAGAAATGTTACAGCAATTATTAACAGGAAGTGAAATCAACGGCTAAAAGGCATCCTTATGTTCTATGTACATTATAGCTTTAGTTATAAAATTTTAAATTTATTAAATAATTTGTTATATAAAAATGGTTTTTTTATTAATTTGATATGAATAAGCGATGATTGGAGAATTAGTTTTACATAACTTGAAAAAAATTAAATTAATAGTAGTAATAATAATATTCAGATTTATTTCAAGTTTATTGTTCTATTTTATTTTTACCAAAAACGAAACTAAGCGAGCGGCATTTTAAAATTGCTTAGAAGTTAGAAGTTGCCAAGTTTTAGAACTACAAATTTTTGTATTTTACCTCTAAATCCTGCCAACTTATTCTTATAACTCTGATATTTCTCCCAAAAATAGGTAACTCTATTAGGAACATAAGAATAATAACCAAATTACAATTTTGAAAATATTTTGCCGCATTTTAATAATTATAATTAATGCGCTTAACTCAAGGGGGAGGGCTCATATTTAAAGAAATTAAAATGTTTAGTAAATCTTTTTTTATTATTAATTTCAAAAAATGTCGACTTGGCAAAAGATTCAAAAGTCTTCAAGTTTTTCTTCTTTTTTCATTTCTTTATTGCTACTTGTTGCTTTGTTATTTATGGTGTGTTTTTTGATTTTAATCTATCTCAATTCTCAATTCGTTATTTATTATTTAAATAGGCCTCATCACTTCCTTGGTATGGCAATTGTTATAGCCTTTCGGACAGTAGTGAAGTCTCTTCTATTCGAGATTATCGCAGTTTACCTGTAGAGTCTCCCCTTGATGTAGATAAATTGGAAAATTATTTGAATGAAAGGAGTTTGCGTTTAGGGTGAATTTTAGAAAATTAAGATTACTCTCAAAAATTTCAGAAATATGATAAATACAAGTTTTGCAAAATTTGTGAAGGGGATTCCTGCAAAGGATGGCAATTGGTGTGAACGAATGGGTAATGGCAAACTTGACAGTGAAGAACATAAAAAATTGGAAGGATGGGCTTTTGCTGATGATGACAAAACTTTGTTTGCAGAATTGGCAAAAAGCGGGGAGGTTGTCAGTCAACGGTGGGTTGATTCTTAAGTCTTAGAGAATTACAAACTTAAGTTTTCAAGTTCATTATACAAACTTACAAACATGAAGCTTGTTATTTTATTTTTAAGATGTACTCGCCTTAAAGAAAAGTTTCCTTTTATTGATGAACCTCTTTCAGAAGAAGAAAAGGAATTTCCACTTGCTTATGGCATTCTTGTGTATAAATCGGCTTTCCAAGTTTACATGATGATGAGTGCTATTTATCATGTATGCCTTTAAAACTTAAGTTCTAATACAACACAGCTTGGCGTTAGATATTTCTCTCCTTCAGCTAGTGCAAAAGGTTATACGACGGCTGGGAGCGAACAGACAGCCCACCGCTTAGGAATTAAATGCTTTATAATTCTTTTTAATTTTCAGCCGCAGAATATTTATTGTGTTTCGATTGATGAAAAATCAACTAAAGAATTTAAAGATTCAATGTTATTGCTTACTGACTGTTTTCCGAATATTTTTGTTATGGTAGGGTTTAATCTAGTCCAAAAAATTATTTTAAAGGCAAGTGTAAACCCTGTTGGTTGGTGTGAATTTGGAGTAGCTCGTTCGCTTTATAATTGCTTTCGTTATTTGACTGAACATAAGCATGACTGGAAATATTTTCAAGTTAAATAAAAGAAATTTACTAATCAAATAAAAGACATTTAGTACCTGAGTGGATTTGATTTGCCTTTGAAAACAAATCTGGAAGTATATTTATTATACATATTTTATAATGTAAATTTCTTACAGATGGTTCGAATTTTTAAGCAACTAAATAGATCTATCAATATGCAAGTTTCTTTGTATCCGACTAACCGGCTTGGTGCAGAACTTAAGGTGAGTCACAATCTATGAAAAAATAAATATTAAATGTAGAATATCAAGCCCCCGTTACCCTTATGGAAGTCAAGTATGTCTTCTTTGTTTCCCCGTGAAGCAGCTAATGTTATGGTCTCCAGTTCTAAAGTGCATGAATTGCTGAGATTCTTGGAACAGACAATTTGTTCTGATGAAACTGTCTGGACTACTGTTGCAGGAAATCCACAAGGTGTTTAAAATATTATTTTGATTCTTATTTATTTCCTAAAAAGTCTGGTCTTCAACACCACGTAAAATAAAATTGTTTAATTTTCAGAATTAAAAATTCCCGGAGGATTTAACGCTGCAGCTTTCCATTTCGAGAGAACGGAGTGTGTTAAACATAAAAAAGGAAATATTACAGCAATCATTGAACAGGAAGTGAAAGCAATGGCTGAAAGACATCCAAACGAGCCTTTTCTCCCTGATAATTATTATATCTCTCGTTATCAAGTTTGGGATGTAGCTACTTTACATAAATGTTACTGTAAGTTTATAGAGATTTTTAATGTTTCAAACTTGATTTTAAAATAAACTTGAAAAGAAAGTTTATGAACTTAAAACTTAAATATAATCAAACAGAATTTCAAACTTGAAATAAATCAAACTTTAAAAACAACATTACAAACTTTTTTAAGATTAAACTTTAAAAATCTAACAATGGTTTAAAAAATAAGAAAAGAAGTTCGTAAACAACTTAAGCTTACGCTCAACCTTTAAAATAATTTGCAGACTTAATTTTACAGTTACAACCTTTTTTAAAGTCAAACTTAATATTTTATAAATAAACTTGTAATTCGGATTGCATGCTTAACTTTAAGCTCAAGCTCAAAAAATAATTTACGAACTCAAAAACCCTATTTTTAGCACAGCGTTATAGACTCGAGTCATGTGTTTTTGGCATTAAGGATATTCCTTATTTGCTTAAACGACCAGAACTTGTACAACACAAAATGTATTTAAATTTTCAACCTGCAGGTTCCCGATATTAATAATTCAATAAATAAACTAAATTTATTTAAGCCTATTTTTGCCTTTGGAAAACAATACATGAGAGAGCACTTGATTGGCGTAATCAAAAAGAATTTAAGGCTACCGCCTATTCTGAACTGCCAACAGTTAAACATGCTAGGGAAGGAAATGAACACTTTTATGACGATAAGTGTCTTTTATCTTTATGGTGATTTGACTAATTTAAATTTTATTTTTATATCTTTTTTTAACATTTAATTTTATTAATTATAGCTTTAATTATAAATAAATATGTTTGAATTTATTAAATAATTTGACATATAAAATTGATTTTTTTAATTCGATGTTAGATTTTTTATTAGATTTTTTATTGGATTTTAAGTCGATGAAAGACATGTATAAGCAAAGTGAGTGGAAATAAAAAAATTAATTAATTCAATTAAACTTAAAAAAATTAAATTAATAAATGTCTATTACTGTCTGTTTTAATTTATTAATCTAATTAATTTTCAAAATTAAATTCTGATTTATGTAAAAAATTTTTATTAACTTAAGTTCTGATTTATTAGAAACTTAAGTTTCTATTTCTATAAACTTAAGTTCTTAAGTGCTTTTTATTTAATAATTCCTTTAAGACTGAACAAAGAAGCATAAGAATTAATCAAGCTAAATTTTAAAATTAAATGAAAACCACAAGTTAACTGTTCCAACATTCCAAGTCACTACACCTTACTATAAAAGAATACTTGTTGAGATATGCAACCTATATCTTCTAACATCAAGAATTTTGTAGTTAAATTAGCAGCTAAAAACATGTCCATTTGGCAAAAGATTCAAAAGTCTCCAAGATTTCCTTATTTTATTATTTCTGTGTTACTAATTGTTGCTGTGTTATTTTTGGTAGTTCTTTCTGATCTATCCGAATTTTAAATTTTATTTCTGTTTATTTAACAGGCCTCATCACTTCTTTGGTATGGTACCCCTTTTATCTTTCATAACAGCAAGGAAGTTTCTCGTGATTATCGCAATTTGCCCACAGAGCGTTATTCGGAGTCTCCCTCTAATTTGGAAAAATCAGAAAATTATTTGGATGAAAGGAGCTTGCGTTTAGGGTAATTCTTGGAAATTTTTTAGAAAATTCTTAAAAATTTCAGAAATATGGTAAATACAAGTTTTGCAAAATTTGTGAAGGGGATTCCGGCAAAGGATGGCAATTGGTGTGAACGAATGGGTAATGGCAAACTTGACAGTGAGGAACAAAAGAAATTGGAAGGATGGGCTTTTGTTGATGATGATAAAAATTTGTTTGCAGAATTGGCAAAAAGCGGGGAGGTTGTCAGTCAACGGTGAGTTGATTCTTAAATCTATTTTCTAGAAAATTACAAACTTAAATTTTCAAGTTTGATCTTTTCTTTTACAGATGTACTCGGCTTAAAGAAAAGTTTCCTTTTATTAATGAACCTCTTTCAGAAGAAGAAAGGGAATTTCCACTTGCCTATGGCATTCTTGTGTATAAATCAGCTTTCCAAGTTTACATGATGATGAGTGCTATTTATCAAGTATGCACTTTAAGCTCAAACTTAACTTTTAATTTTTCAAGCCTCAAAATATTTATTGTCTTTCGATTGATGAGAAAGCAAGTAAAGAATTTAAAGATGCAATGTTGTTGCTTACTGACTGTTTTCCGAATATTTTTGTTATGGTTGGGATTAATCATAGAGTTAGGTGTCCAAAAATTTATTTTAAAGGCAAGTGTTAACCATGTTGGTTGGTGTGAATTTGGAGTAACTCGTTCACTTTATAGTTGCCTTCGTTATTTGACTGAGCGTAAACATGACTGGAAATATTTTCAGGTGAAATCTTGCACCTATTTTAATTTATTAAATAAATTTTTAGTATCTGAGTGGATTTGATTTGCCTTTAAAAACAAATCTGGAAGTATTTTTATTAATTTTTATATACGTTAAATTACGTATTTATAGATGGTTCGCATTTTTAAGCAACTTCATGGATCTGTCAATACTGAAGTTTCATTATATCAAACTGGCAGGCTTGGTGCAGAACTTAAGGTGCACACAAAATAATTAAATAACCATTAACTTAATTTTTAGAATATCAAGCCTCCATTAACCTTATGGAAGTCAAGTATGTCTTCTTTGATTCCGCGTGAGGCAGCAAATGTAATGGTCGCCAGTCCTAAAGTACATGAATTAATGAGATTCTTGCAACATTCAACATGTTCTGATGAAGCTGTTTGGACCACTGTTACAGGAAATCCACAAGGTGGCTAAACTTGAAAACTCAAAGAAAATCAAAATTTTCAGAATTAAAAATTCCCGGAGGATTTAACGCTGCAGCTTTCCATTTTGAGAGAATGGAGTGTCTTAAACATAAAAAAGGAAATGTTAACGCAATTATTGAAGAGGAAGTGAAAGCAATGGCTGAAAGACATCCAAATGAGCCTTTTCTCCCTGATAATTATTATATTTCTCGTTATCAAGTTTGGGGATCATCTACTTTACATAAATGCTATTGTAGGTTTTAGTGGTTTTCAGAGATGTTTCGAAACAAAAAAATCTTCGAAAATCGGAAATCGAAAATCGAAATAAATTCAAAAATATCGAAATCGAAAATATTTTTCAAAATCTTCGAAATCGAAAATCGAAAGAAAAATAACCTCGAAAAACGAAAATCGAAAAACGAAAATCGAAAAAAATTTTAAAATGAAAAATAATTTACAGATAAAATATTTGTTGTGTTAGGTCTCATTTGAAACTCTTTAATTCTAAAAAATTAGAAGAAAGTATGGACTAGTCGGTAGATCCCGGGAATTAACGGATATCCAAAGTTCGAACACTAAATCCAAACCAAAAATAGGAATAGGAATCGAATTACTGGCACCGCCTGTTGCCATTTCAAATCTTTGCTAAGGAGTGATGAAAAGGGGCTCTGAATTTATCAAGGGGGATAAAAGTGATATCAGAGGAGGATAGATCAGCGGATTCGAAGGGATATCGGAAGAATAAGAGGGGAGTCGAGAATATCGATAATCCTTAGATATCCAACTCTATGGTATTCACCTTACCCACTTAATCCCTCGATATCAGGCCCAAATCACTTTACATTGGGCCCCTTGAAATTTCCCGATATAACTTAAGGTCCAACTTAATCCATCCAAAACTCAGAGTTATTAAATTTTTCCTTTCTAGCGCCGCAGGCGAAAATTTTGAAAATCTTGATGGATCCTTAAGCCAAAAGTCTTCCTTTTTCTGCGCCGCAGGCGAAAATTTTGAGAATTTTGGAAGACCAAGTCACCAGAATTCTTACATTTTCAGCGCCGCAGGCCAAAATTTTGAGAATTTTGGAAGAACCTTAAGCCAGAAATCTTCCTTTCTCTGCGCCGCAGGCGAAAATTTTTTAAATTTATGATGGCCTATAAGTCAGAATTCCTCTTTTTTGGCGCCAAAAATTTAAATTTTTTCAAAAATTCGGAAATCGAAAATCGAAAATATCACAAAATTTCGAAAATCGGAAATCGAAAATCGAAAGGAAAAAAACCTCGAAAATCGAAAAACGAAAATCGAAAATCGAAATTTCGAAACATCTCTGGTGGTTTTTAATGTTTCAAACTTAAAGTTTTAAGAATAAACTTGAAAAGAAAATTAACTAACCTAAAGTTTAAGTTCAAACTCTAAAAACAGAATTTACAAGCTTAAATTTAATTAAACTTGAAAAACAACATTTACAAACTTTTTTAAGTTCAAACTTAAAAGATCAAACTTAAAAAGTTTTAAGTTCAAACCTAAAAAATCAATCTTAAGTTTTGAAAATAAATTTTAAAAGAGAGTTTTACAAACTCAAGTTTTAATATCATAAAAAATTGCAAACTTAAATTAAATCAAACTTGAAATAAACATTACAAACATTTAAGATTAAACTTAAAGAAATTAAACTTTGTTTAAATAAACTTGAAAAAATGTTGGTAAATTTATAAACGAAGTTTACGAACTTAGGTTTTTAAGTTCAAACTTTAAAACTGAATTTGCAAACTTATAAACCTTGTTATCTTTAGCGCAACATTATTCTAGTGCTTCATGTGTTTTTGGGATTAAAGATATTCCTTATATGCTTAAAAGACCAGAACTTGTACAACACAAAATGTATTTGAGTTTTCAACCTGCAGGTTGTTTGAATTAATTATTTTTAAAAATTAATTTTAATTTAAGCCTATTTTTGCCTTTGGAAAACAATACATGAGAGAGCACTTGATTGGCGTAATCAAAAAGAATTTAAGGCTACCGCCTATTCTGAACTTCCAACAGTTAAACATGTTAGGGAGGGGAATGAACACTTTTATGACGATAAGTGTCTTTTATCTTTATGGTGATTTGACTAATTTAAATTTTATATTATTTATCAACGAATATATTTAAATTACCTCTGTGATATCATCTTGCTTGAATTTCTTATTGAATTAATTCCATTTTAAAAAATATTTTATTTTGGGAGTCAATAGTTGTAATAAGCTGCATGCTCATATTAATTCTTATTTAGTGTTTGGATTTTTTATTACTCAAAAATCGTTAGAATTTGAACTGAATATTTAAACAGCATTTATTTATTGCATCCAACTTAACTTTTTTCTCGCTAAAATTTTATTTGTTATGTTTATTCAGTAAATATTTATTACAAAATGGACATAAAATTGGAAGAGTTTGATGAGCTAATTTTAGAATAAAATAATATCTACATCCCTATAAATCTTTAAAAAATGCCTGAACTGATAATAATCCGTGTGAATTGCTGCTATAATCCATAAATAAAATATAATTTTAAGAAATAAAATTTTTTTTTTCATTATAGTACTTTAGTTTAACTTGATTATAAGTGCAATGCTTAATGTTGATCCAATTTTTATCATTTTGTATTTAGCTTTTGTTTTTTAAAATCTCAAGGTTTCTTAACTTATTTTAAACACTCTCTTTCAATTAATCTGTAAAAAATTAATGTTGTTAGCCAAATTTAGTCCTCCCTTTGTTTTCTGGTATTTGAACAACACCATAATCACATTTAAGAAAGAATTCTTATTTTATGCTTTAAACAGAAAATGGCCAAATCGTACATATTTTTTATTCATTTCAATAAAACATTTTCCCAAAATAGTAAAGCTGCACAAATATTAAAAAATATCGAGAATTAAATATCCAATAGATAAGCCTCATAAATACTAAATTTTATTCGTTAAACTTAATGAAAATTAATTTTATTTGTGATTTAAAATGTTTTTTTAAAAATTTTTATGATCCCCAGAAATTTTACAAGAATTAACAAAATTCTTAAATATGAAAAATTTTTATGATAAAAATAAAACACGTATTTTTATCCGTATAACGAAGGCTTTTTTATAAGCAGCATTGCTTCTACACATATAGGTGAGCCTTTGCGCTGCTTGTTTTACAAGTGCGCTGCTTGCTTTACATTTTCTCAGCAAAATTATTAAAAAAGAACTATGTATATCTTATTATTTCTAAAACATTTTTTAAGAAGGTAAGTTACAATAACGTAGAGGGCAAAATTTTATTTATGTCTAATATAATGGCAAAAGTGCAACCTAAAATATCGCTCATAGTTTTCGAATAAATTTACCAATCACTATAGACCTGACTGTCTTGTCTACTATTTTACTCCCTTAAAAAAATTATTTAATATTTCCTCTCGGATTTTAAAATTCAAAAATCTTGTTAGTTATAGAAAACTTTAAAATAAAAAATGTCAGACTTTTATTTCTTCAACAACTTGAATACCGAAATATTAGAAAAAGGAAATATTAACAGAATAAATAATGAATCTTTTGTAGATAAGCAAAAATATAATGATAATGAAGAAGAAACTAGGGGGATTAATGAAGGACTCACTAAATCCGAAAATTCTTCGGTTTCAAAAAATGGTAAGAAAAAACGCGCATTTCCAACAAATTGTACCGTTTGTGGACATATAGCCAGTGGATATGTATTTTATAATGCTATGTGTTGTGATGGTAAATTAATTAATTATACATGAGAAAAATATTATAAACTATTTGAGAATAAACTTAAATATTTAAGATCGAACTTAGAATCAAGTTTATAAACTTTACCAAAGTTTATTAAGCTTAAACTTAAAATACTAAATAGAAACTTATTTAAGATCGAACTTAAAATCAAGTTTAAAGGTGTTTATTTTTTAGATCGAACTTAGAATCAAGTTTATAAACTTTAATAAAGTTTATTAAGCTTAAACTTAAAACTTAAATATTAAATAGAAATGCTTAAAATTAAGATCGAACTTAATGTTAGAGCTTAGTTTCTATATACTTACAAACTTACTTAAAAGATTTAATATTTTAAAACCATTTTATCAGGTTGTAAACACTTTTTTCGTCGCTGTATTTCTAACAAAAATATGTTTAAATGTAACAATAATGGAGATTGTGATGTTTTTAAAGGTGAACAAATAATAATAAAATTAATTTAATTTAATAAAATTTTAAGGATCCTTAAAATGTAAAAGTTGCCGTTTTGATAAATGCATTTTGGCAGGAATGAATGTAATGACTTTACGAGGAAACAATGCTGAAGCTTTTATGGAAACACATACACATATTAAAAATAGACTTAAATATCTAATTCTTCAAGGAAAAGCTGTTAAGGAACATATTGAAAAAAATGCGTTTGAAGTAGCAAATTCTGTTGCGGTAAAAATAATTAATAAACATTAGACTTAAGCGTTTCATACTCAAGTTTATTAGAAAAATCAAGTGTATTTGAATATACCTAAATGTTTATTTTAATATTCAAGTTTATCTTAAAAACCATGTTTATTTAGTTTCATGTTTATTCCTAAAAATCAAGTTCATTTTAATATTCAAGTTTATCAAAAAATTTAAGTTTCTCAAGTTTACTCTTAAAAATCATGTTTATCGTAAAAATTCAAGTTTATTTTATTTATCAGTTTATTCTTAAAAATCAAGTTTATTTTAATATTCAAGTTTATTCTTAAAAATCAAGTATATCTAAAAATTCAAGTTTATTTATTTTAAAGTTTATTCTTAAAAATAAAGTTTATGTATTTTAATATTCGAGTTTATTTTATTTATGTCTTTTCTTAAAAATCAAGTTTATTTTAATATTCAAGTTTATTCTTAAAAATCAAGTATATCTAAAAATTCAAGTTTATACTTAAAAATCAAGTTTATTTTAACATTCAAGTTTATTTTAATATTCAAGTTTATTTTAATATTCAAGTTTATTCTTAAAAATCAAGTTTTTTTAATATTCAAGTTTATTCTTAAAAATCAAGTATATCTAAAAATTCAAGTTTATTTTATTTTCAAGTTTATACTTAAAAATCAAGTTTATTTTAATATTCAAGTTTATTTTAATATTCAAGTTTATCTTAATATTCAAGTTTATTCTTAAAAATCAAGTATATCTAGGAATTAAAGTTTATTTTAATTAAATAGAAAAGTTCCTTTAATATTGTATAGATTATTTAGCTATGTATATT